CAAACAGAGTGGAAAAACTAGAGTGCAGAATGAGCATCGAGTAAATTTGAAACAAGTGCAGTCAAACATTTAAAACATTCGAGGTTGTTTCGTCTATCATCAATTTATCCTAAATATGCATTGAACCAGCGAATGCTTTGTGTATTAATATTTAATTAAATATATTAGAGAGTGCCAAAAAGCACATAGGTACTAATTAATATCAAATATTTGTTGGCAACAATAGAAACAGGTATGTTTGTAGATGTAAACATACAAATTTAATCACATTTCTAACAAATGCCGAACTTCGATGTGCCTGCCAGCGGCAAGTATTGTTCCAACTGCTAATTGTAATATGCTTTCAATATAGCTAGGTACAGTTACACTCAAATGTAAACAATTGAAGTTGTACGTTAATAAATTAATATAAACTTATACACGAGATGCATTGTGTGCCATTCGAAAACAATTCTTGCGAAGCTGATTGTTTTCCTTGTGCAAGGATGCAGAAATGGGATTTCTAAAGGATAAATTCAAATATTCAGAGAAATATAAAATATAAAGCAGAAAATTTAAAAAAGTAGAAATATTAATTTTATTTAAACAAAGAAATCTTTTGATTTATTGCAAATTTTTGTTTTTCTGATTTTATAATATTAAATTATTCCTGTTTACGGCTGTTTGAACTTCCTGCTTAGGAAATGATGAAAATTAAATATATTAAGAAGCTCAGGTGGCGCCGTCACAAGTATCCATGGATACATCTAGACGTAATCATCGCTCCGGCAAAATAACGAAGTGAGAAACTTCATGTGTCGTAGATGAGTTTCTCCGAAAAGCTATGCAAAATAAAATATGCAGATTCAATGTTATTTCATTTTGCAATTCAGAATATCAAGAAACACGATCGATTGCACTTTAACAATATTTTTTTCTTCTTTGTGACGTTGAAGACATTCGTAGAACAATAACACACAGCATTACGTTGTCGTAATGGTTGATTCAGTTGCGTTTGTGTGAGCTTGCGTGCATAAAAGTTGCGACAATGTGCTGATGCAAGTGCACATGTTCTTAAGGCCGCCTGGGGAACCACAACAGCGACGAAAAACGTTCCGGGAGCTTTTACAGCCCGACGCCTCGTAATATGTGCACCAGTTAATGGTGTTTTTCTTTTAGCCCCCTTCGACCGTGTGCTCGTTTACTCTCGCAGTGAATTTTTTTCTTCATCCACTTCATACATACTTATAGCGAATTATTACGTTAGGATTATATCCCAAAACCCACCAACGGAGTGTGCTGTCTTTTTTTCATTGTAGGCGTCGCGGGTTATTGATTCAAGGCGATGGATTGCTTAATCCGAAGTAAAAGCCTGCTGTTCATCCAAAAAGAACAAGAAGAAAAAAAGTAAAGGAATTAACTGATAGACAATAGAAAAATTCAACAAGGATTATTACTACTTCTTTTTTTATTTAATCGTTGGTAATTAGTTAACAAATCCCAATGTAATTTTGACCTTAATACTGTTCAAATACTAAAAATTTCAGACAAAGTTTATTTAAAGCTTTGAGAGTAAAATCAGCAAAAGAAACCTTTTAAGTAATTAATTAATTAATGAAATCTATTAAGCTTGCATTGTTGAGAAAGCAGCATGCGATGTGCAAGCACAATGAAACTGAAAATTCCGGTTTGCACGCGGTTTGCTAAAATAAATTAGAAATTAATTGAATTTGCACGCCGGTATCCGATGCACATGGCGCACTGCGCTTAAATATTAATTATTTACAGATAGCACACGTCTTCGAAGAGTTGTGATTAATGAAGTCTCATAGTTTTCATTAAAACATAAATTTCAATTAAAATCGGTGGAATTTCAGTTTCAGTTAAATGAAGTACTTACTTTTAAATGCAATGCGGCGTTTTCATTGACCCGTGCGGTACATAATCCGGTTCCGGATGTTAATCCGCGTTCGTTTGACCTCATTTATTAAAATCCGTTCGCGCATCATTATTTGCTCGCGTAATTCGTAATTATAACGGTGTGGTGGATACGCGTGTGGTTCGGGTTGGTTTACGCTGATAACGCCAACGGCCATTACACACCAATGTGCTAACCTTCCTACCAACCATGTTATTTGGTAATACTGCTTGTGGAAAGCATTTTTTAGAGTAATTTTTAATTAAATCAGCTTTTCTGCTCTATTTAATGAACAAAAAATGCAAGTTTTTTATGTTTTCTCAGAATCTTCAATCTGGAGCAGTAATTTTTTAGTTTTTCAATACTGATACCTCTATAATTTTTTGATAAACATTTGTTATGGGCATTTTAGGACACTTCCTGTGAATTTACAAATTGGATAATGAATAGACCCTTTTGCAACCGGAGATATAGAGTGTTTTTGATTATAAATTCACGATAATTACAAAAATATCACTTTAAATGATTTCAAGTCTTTAAATTCACAAAACTCAAGAATAGTCTAGACAATTCGCTGATGGTCTAGAGATACGCGTAAACCAAACACATCTCAACCTTTACTTTTGCTAAATACATAACCCAAAGTTCAAAGTCATTGTCGTCGTTCCTCGACTCCACACCAGCTCATAATGGAATTATAACAGTGACAAAAGTAAATTAGCACAAAAAAGAGCATAATTCCACCCCTGAATTATGCATGGTACAAAACCACCACCTTCTGGCTGTATGGTTGAAGCCTAATTTCACATCATATTATAATTGTCTACAGAGAGATATACCTCTGAGCGCTAATAGAGCTGGAGACTTTAGCAAAGCCGACCGCGACGTCGACGGCGTAGTCATGTATTAAGGGATGAGGGTTGTGAGGACGAGACGGACGGATTTCCCCGTTGTGTTTGTGAAGCTGAGTGAACGATGCGATAATGTTCGCAATATGTATTCGCAATGCAATTTGTAATTCGCTTAGTTGATTCTGTGCGCACCGGCCTCGGAGTAATATAGTTTAATGAGCGACCGTGCACGTATACACCGCCCAACTAGTCCCAATTGCTCTGGTGGGCTTGTTCTCGCTACAATGTGTTTGCAAAGCAACGCTGTTCAAAATTCCAGAATTTTCATTGTGTTAAAACAATTTTTAGGTACTTTTTCAGTGTTTTTAGAATTTTTCATATTATAATTAGAAAGTGTTACAGTTTAATACATCCAGACACTTTATGTCTTAATTAGAATGTAATAATTTAATATTTAACATTTTTATGACCTAGACTTGAAGTTAATTACTGGATTCTTTTATATCTTTTTAATACTTCTACAGACACTCTCGGCGTCTCGACCAAAACTAATTCTTACCGAATTTTATTACTTTATCAATGTGACTTTGCGATTTGGACTAAAACACAATGGAAAATGATGTGACGAGAAATGTATTTTGCGTATATATGTGATTGTAGTTGACTTTTGACGTCAATGTCGACGTCGTCAAATCGAAACGGACGATGAGAGCCGTCCGAAGGGTTGAAGCAAACACACCTGATGATGCTAAATAAACACCGCGCTCGCAATTCTCAGCGTATCGCGACGAGAAAATCGCGATATTTCCGACAGCGAATCAATTCCCACACGTTTGCCTATTTATCTATTTATGTCTCCTACGCAAACTTTATTCAAGTTAACAAGAAAATGTTTATGGCACTTATCAGCGAATGGAGTTTTATAGCTGAAATTTTTCAACGAAAACATAAAAGCCAATTATATTTTAATCATCAGTGATGTTCACATTGGAAAGCTTTCATTTTAAAAGTTTCGCCCTTAACATCGACCAGTTAAAACTCTGCCCTATAGTGGTGTGCATAAAATGTTTCAAGTTTACGTGCACTTTTTAATGAACTTTATTATACAATATTGTATTGTAACAAAAAACCATAAACATGTTCAGCGTTCTCTAAAAGCTCATAACAAAATGGAATAAAATACCCTTCATTGTTGGTTGTATTACGTTCGCAAACGAAAATTCATACTCGCTTCACTTCAACATAATGTTATAAAAACATTATTAATTTAAATTTTGTGGAGAGCTGTGATTTGAAAATATTTACATTCTACATTTCCTGGCAGGTAATTTATTTTTGCGCAGCGTGTTTGCGTAACGCAAATAATGAGTTATTATACGCATGCATAATAACGCCGTGGAGCGTTCGCCACTTTGTAAAGTTGATCAACTCGTCGTTAGATGCAGGTTAGAAAGGTCGAGGAGTTGGAGCGGCATGTTTCGCGGCGTTCAATCATCGCCGCCGCGTCGTGCAAAGGCAGGCGCGGTGGGTGGAGAGAGAATAAGTGGAAATTTAGTCGTTGTCAAATTAACGGCGTAACGAGATTGCCGTTCGTCTTTGGGGCGCGCGTCGATGCTTCGACAAGCATCTCGTCCTTAACATGCTCCGTCGCCCCCTCTGGCCCAAGTCGTTGTTTGTGTCTGATCGACTGGCGCTAACTGAATAACGTGCGGGCTGCCCGCGCGCCCGTTATTAATAATAATAACCCGGGGCGTATCTGCAAGTGATATGCTTCGAACGTGACGAGCTCGCAAAGGATCTTAAACTCTGAAGGTATGAGGTTTGAAGGTTACCTGTGTGGAAATGTTGGTTTTGTACAAATTTCACGGGTTAATTGAAGGTGATCAGTTATATTATCCAGCATAAAATATAGAACGCCCGGTATTTAACCTATAAATTCCGCTATTTGATAAGCGAAAAGTCCTTAATTGTTTTTTACAATAAAAAAAGTTTTAAGTTCTAAAACAGCCCAAAGACTTTGGAACAAAGGAAAATAGTTTAAATGTATTTTTAACCGGCAAACACAAAGTTTCTATCCTTTCTTCCTTCCTGAATTGAAGAGTAGGTACAAAACTGCAGAGCAAACACATCAGCAGTGACTAAAAAAGTTTTAACTGGAAACGAAACTTGTCCGCACACGTTTCACTAGTGTTGAACGAAATCATCGAGATATAAGTTCTAAGATATGCTAAATTCTTTTTCTATTGTTACAGATCCGTACAGATCAATCGGTGAGGATTAATATAACAACGAAACTCTTAGGCAGTGATCAACCAATTGCAAATCAACATCTTGATGTGATTGCCAATTAAATTTCCACGTCTCGCGCCCAATTAAAGTGAGCAGTGAACTAATCACCGGCAGTGCGCATTTCTTCGTATCCAGCTGCAGTGTAAGCAGCAATTAAGTTTTGTGATTGAACTTCAGGTTCAGGCATCACAAAACGGGTGTCTAAGTTTTATTGGTGTGTGTGTGTGCGCGCACAAGCTCGCGATCGTTTGCATAAATGAATAACAACGGCACAACGATGTCTGACTATGAACGCATCCGCCTGGTGATTCTAGGCGGTGCAGGTGTTGGCAAAAGCTGCATTGTCAAGCGTTTTCTTACCAATACCTACTCGGATAAGTACCGCAGTACAGTCGAGGACTTATACAACCGTGAATATGATCTTGGGCACATGACTCTGAAGGTGGATATATTGGATACGGCTGGAGATATGCAGTTTCCTGCAATGCGGCGATTGTGTATGGCTACCGCGCATGCGTTTTTGTTGGTTTACGCTGTCACATCAGCGCCATCTTTTACATGCGTCAAGCAGTGTTTTGAGGAAATTCGGGAAGCGCGGGCTGATTTTCAAGAAATACCGATTGTCGTCGCTGGAAATAAGCTGGATCTTACTTCTACACACAGAGAGGTTAGGATTGAAGATGTCAGCGAGTGGGTTTTCTGTGAATTACCAAAATTGAGGTTAGTTAATGTAATATTTCCTAACCCGGGTACAATTAATCAAATTATTTTATCTTTACAGAGTAAAAGTGTTGGAATGCTCTGCTAAAGATGATATTAACATCAAAGAAATTTTCCGTACTTTCCTCACCCTCTCCCGGATACTTCCCCGAGACGCCGACGACAGTGGCGGGTTGAAAAGAAGATCGAGCGCATATTTATCTTCATCCAAAGGTAACCGTCGGACGGTGAGTCCTGCACCTGATCGCGCTGGAGGCGAAAGCAGCGGTAGTCAAGAACCGTCACGAGCCAAGCCACGCTCCAGGTCGCTGATACGACGCGCTAGTCGTAAGACTAAACAGCAGATTCGTGATGCACACAGCGCCGTCGAAGAGTGCAACGTTTCGTAGACAGCGACACACTGCACATGCGCCCTAGCCCAAAACAAGAAAACGCCCCGACCACGTTTGCTCCATCGATGACGCTTACTCGTTTATTAAGCTACACGTGTACAAGAAAATTACAGTAAATTAACTTAGCGCTAAGTAAGCAGTAAGTAAGTAAGTACCTACACGTAATACTCGTTAGGAATTTAGGGTATAAGAGGGTGAAAGTTAGCTGCCTGACAAACAAGATTAAAATTTTCGAACAAAAAACACAACACAGAAATAATTTTGCCGCGGAAGAAAATCATTAAAAACTTTTCCAGAATAAATATTCTTAGAAATGATCTCGAAAAATGCTGCAAACAAAGTGCATGCGGAAGTAATCAGAGTGAACAACTTAAATGGCGCACTTACATCAGACGCGAATGAGAATTAAGGTAAAACTTGAGAAAAAGCAAGCAATTCTTTTGTTTTCTTTTAAAGCTTTGAGAAAAGTCGTTAGTAAGCCTGAGTGGCATCGCGAGGCATGAACAAAAGTGCATTGTGGATTGTCATTAATTTTTATTAGTATTCCTACGTCTTTAATGGTAATATTTTAGTTTGAAGCTTTTAGAGCGAAAATTGCTTGCTATAAACGACTTTTTTCCTCAAACGCAGCAAGATGTGTCAAGTGACGAAAACGAATTGACTTTTTTTCCATCGCGACCTTTACTTTTGTAAATTTTTTACTTCATGCGACATTTTCATCTCAATTCTTTTTGTAAGACGTCAAAAATTAATTCAGGAACTTTTTGCGGCTTCAGTTCACCGCAGGCATTTATTGGAACAAAACGAATCGATGAAAATAAGTATAAGTGGTATCAGGTTTGGAAGCGTAGCGAAAACAAAACGTTGGTAAACACACCTCGGTTTTATTTGCGCACAAATTCGACGAGGCGAAAGAAAACACGCAAGATTACGCTACGTCGTTGTTCACACTGATACTACAACCTAATCGGATCAATCGTAGCGTGCGCAACCAACATCTCTATTATTATCTAGAATTACTGATATCGGCGATTACATTCGTGCGCACTTGGTATTTGGAGCATTCACTAAAACCACCTAAACTGTAATCAGGAACCAAATCAAGAACGATAGCACTATTGTTATTTAAACACAAAGAAATTAGAGTATTGCATAATCGTGTGAACGACGCTCATCGCTAAATTTAAATCTGTGACTTAGTGCGAATAACATTAATGTGTTAACTTGCATTAGTGTACAATAAATATTTAAATATAGAAAGATTTAGTTCAATATGAGTATATAACCAAAATTCAAAGATTAAAGTTAAATATTTTGTAAATATAAAAATTATAATCATGTTGAAACTAACTTTTAACATGTAGAAATCCAGAAATTACATGATTATGAATATAAATAGCAACCACGTACGTCCAGTTTAAAGATAACATTTTAATTAATTAATTTTTTATGATTATTTTTACAGAGGAGATTCGTTAAGACTAACAAGGAAAAGAAAAGTTAAAAAATTCACTCATAACATAACCTAACTTGAGTTAACCTAACTTTAAAGTGTTACAATTGACGAATCTCCTTCACTTTTGAAGGCTTTCATTACAAAGCTTTATGATCTGTCTGTAGGTGCATATTGTACATAGTAGTGGTTACAATAATTAATGTAAACTATAAATATTCACTTATTATCCTTGATTTGTACTTACAAACCATAATAATCTACACAAATTGCAAGTAACTGGTAGGAATTGATTTGTATTAAACTATAACACTTAAACTAATAACTATAACACAAAACACACACATAGAAACGAATTTTCTCTTGGTGTGACCTTTATCAATATATAATCAACTAATAGAAGCGATTTGTTTTCGATGTACATTGATTTGCAAGTAAATACTTGAATAATAATCAAAATGAAAGGCTTCAATTCGCCGAATAAGTTAAGCTAAACTTTAATTCTTGTTTTAGCGTAGTCTTTAGCCCATAGCGCAATATAAACTAATCTAATATATTAATGATAGAGTGTGTTCTGTTGTTGATGAAAATCAATTAAGATGAATCACGTTCAGTCGCTTGCAACATGAGGAAAAAAAACTTTGCGTGCATTGAGTAAATGAGTAGATACGTAATAAGTTTATAAGGGAATGAATGTGAGCGAGCGAGCACGTAGCGTGGCGTTTAGCTCCCGCCTGGAGCATAGGGCGGTTTCCCTTGACGCTTATTAATAAATCTTTATGACTGTCCCGCATTTCTAATTATCGCGAGTGAATGCGGCACGTACGCAGTAAGAAAGCGCTTCTTTGAATTTGCCAATCAAAGCGAAAAACACTGAATTCAAACTGGAAATTTCCAACTTTCGACATAATTACGTTAGGCGTGTGCAAATGTTTACGCTGAAATTTAATTTCATGACTTTTCGGTTTTGGAAATGTGTTTATCGCAACAATTTCAAAGAAACACACAAGTTGAAATCTTATAATTTACTCATAACATCAAAAGACATCACAATTATGACTGTTTAACACGATAACCATATCAATATCAATGGTAACTATCGAAAATGATGGAATTTTCAAAATAATTAAGTGTTTACACCCAAAAATATCCGAATTATCGATGTCAAACAATCAAAAATAACGAAATACTTTAGTCGGTGTTATAACAAGCACTTAACAGCTGTAGATGTGCAGATTTGATGTGAACAAGTTACCAGCAAACCTCCCCTGACTATAATACTGCACTTTAATGTGTTAATAACTCTTAATCAAGGCGTTGATCAAGTATAAAGCGTATGCAAAGTATAAAAAAAAACGAATTAAATGTAACCCGGAACCACATTTTTATATGTGTAAGAATTTTATATATTGCGTCAAGTCCCAAATCAAATTCGATGGTGGATATTTTATATGAATTTAATAAAAAAGATTCCTACATGAGGCGTACTCGTATTTAGTTCTGTAGCGTTTAGCGAGTTAAAAATGTAAACGTTAGTTGAAAAAAAAAACAAGCAAAAAACAAAATAAGGAGAACGAGATTGAACAAAAACAAAAAATTTAATGGTGTATAAGGTGTGGCGTTGATATTGACGATGTATTAACATAAAATACGCTTAAATATATTATAAAAATTGTTTATACATAATTTACGAGTATTATATACCTTATATTAATACCTGTATATGATAGTAATTTATATCGATATAAAGTATTATAAATATAAATGTAAATTTAGCAGGGTGTATCACCGACTGAGAGTGTCTTTAATTTTGTTACAGTATTTTTATTTGTGTTGTGAAATCAAAACAAAAAAAAATCTGCATATTTAAGGAAATAGTTTTGAAATCAATGTTTGAGTTGTGGTATAAGTGCCGAGCGCGTCATTCCATCGTTACCAAATAGTCGTGAATAAAGTATTATACGCATGGAATATATTTATAATAAATTAAATCAAACATAACATTGTATAATCGATGAAAGACGCCAAGTGATGATAAATAAAAATAAAATTATATAAAAATCAAAACAATTTCGAGGTTAATCGAATATTTTTCGTTTACTTTTTGTGGTGCACAAGTTCAAAGCATTCCATTACATCTCAAGGAGCGTTGCAGTTATTTACCCTGTGCTAGTTTTTTTTTTTGCTTTACGTTTACCTTCAGACCTCACCGTTCATTTGTAGCGAACTTCTCGAACTGTGATGGCGATGATAATGGAAATCTTTGTGGGTAACATGTAACATGGTAACAGTGCAAGTTTAGGTTTAGATGTTTGGAAAGCTGGCGCACAGAAAACCTCTTTGTGCAGGCAAAGCACAGTCGTATGCGTGCGCGAGTATTGAGTTTTCCGCTTCTCGGCTTTCAGTGCGCGCTTTTCGGCGCCGGCTTGGAAATCAAATTTTCGAATATTTCACCCCGAGTTGCGGCACGTTTCGGCGGCAAGGTAAGATTATAAATAAACTTATGACTTGCAATACTGGCATGTACTTACTACGTGAACATCTTTAAAGAACATAAAATACTTGCAATTTTGTGGTGTATTACTTGAATGTTCCTAAAAATAACATATAATAAAAATTGTTTTGTTAATTCACTATTCGTTTCCTGTTAATGTATAGTCATAACATTTTATGAATGCTATTCAACGTTTCATTTATTTTTATTATCTCCCAAATGTAATTGTCACTGGATGCTATGAATTTGATGACATTATGCGGAACCGGCAGGTTATAACATACGTAATATTTTCAACATTCTACTGGATATAATAATAAATCATTTCATAATGTCGATAATGGCTATAAAATACTGTATAAAAGACTTCATAAATTGTTTATATGATATTTTATCGTAGGATTTTTATTTGTTTATTATGTTATGAAGCGGCACCTTCTCGTAAAAGGTAAACAAAGGTAATGTATCTTAAATTATAAGAATTTACTACTGAGTTCTTTGTCCATTTTTTATACGAATTATTTTATATAATAGAGAATTTCTCTTAGATTAAGAATCTCCAATCCGTTTCTTTGTATCGCTTTTTGTTTGCGAGATATACGCAATCAAAATATCGGTGAAAATACTCGTATTACTTCACAAAATATTTTTAATTAAAAAAAAACACAATTTAATTAATTGTTTATTGATTTTATTGATTTTTATCATTGTAATTATCTACTATTTACAATCAATTGATTAACCGAAGATACTCAGTATATAATTAATTCAAAAGTGTTATATGTTAGTTACCAGACCAATTTCTCACCAATATCTTCATTAAAATGTCAACTCCTCTTCAAAAATCGCTAAAACCAATATTAATTTTAACAAACTATTCTCTGTTATACGCATCTCCTTATAATAAAAAATTGAGATTAAAGAAAAACTATTTCAAAATACACATTAGCATAAAAGTATTAGTTTCACTAATTGTATTGTGGTATTATTTGAAAATACTAAGTGAATGGCCCTCTGCAGTCGCTAATTTAGTCCGTCGATCAAATTTTGATATGTTGATATTCGTCTATTTCTGCACTTGGGTTCACAGTATAAGAAAAAACACAAAATACAATGAGCTCATCGGAAAGTTTGAAAAATTCGACGCTGAACTTATTCTGCCAAAAGCGGCTTACAAGTCGATAAGAAGACAAACCCACTATTTCGGCCTTTTTATCATTAGTACATATATTCTCATCGCAGCTGAGTATACAGTCAATCAATTCAAATCATCCAAATATATTTTTGATGATTTTGGTATCTACGTCATTTATTGTGTTCCACTTTTTCCTCTAGCTGTAAATTTGGCAAATTTTGTAGTTTTTGTATCCACGCTACAAAAACAATTAGCATATATCAATGAACAATTAAAATTTCAAATGGATAAAACTGAAGTCAACATGATTCTTAATTTAAAGCTTTTAAGAGACATGTGTGCATTACACATGAAAATAAATGACATAGCGTTATTAATCAATGAAATATATGGGTTTAGTTTACTTGCAAATGTGACATTATTTTTCGTGCAGTTTTTGTCTGGTGGCTATATGTTGATATTCACGTTTAAGATGCCAACTGATGAAGGTGAATTGTATCAGTTGATAGGAACATCGTTTGTTTACAATTTTTCGCACGGTGTTACATTTGTATGGATGTGTTACTGCTGTGCACAAACAGTTAACGAAGTAAGTAAAATAAAATCAGCAACTAGGTAAATAAAAAAACTAAATAAAAATGTTTCAGTCCACTAAACTTGGCCAACAATTACATTCATTCTCTGGAGAAGAAAATGACCTAATACAGAAACAGATACAAATGTTTTCCCTGCAAATTCAACATGAAAGCATAGAATTTCGAGCTGCAGACTTTTCACTGTTAATTTCACGTTAATATTTTCCATTATTTGTGCTTTCACTAATTATATTATTATATTAATGCAGTTTTCATAAAAAAATATTACTTTAGGCAACACACACTTCACAAATTAGGTTAGGTCAATATAAATGCTGTCAAAAATAAAATTATATTGTAATTATAGTTAATTACACGCTTGTTATTCTTTGATGATGACATGTTAATCATTAACAACTTTAATCAATCAATAAAAACAAAACATCCACCTAAAACTAATAACCACGAGGTTCCGGCTTAGTTACTCAATATATTTTATAACAACATGTCTAACTCAACACTTTTTCGATCATCTATCAATCCAATGATAATTTTAACAAATTGTTCTTTACAACAAGCAACAAATTTAAAAACATTTATAAAACACAACAAAATATACTTGAAAATACATACTCTACTAAAATTTATACTTTTATCAATAATATTGTGGTTTTACTTGAAGATTCTATTAATTCATTATAATGTCTGGCCAACAACCGTCTCAAATGTTGTTAGAGAACTAAACTATGGAATGATAATGATTTGTTTCATTTGTATAAATGTACACAGTTTAAGAAAAAACTGTAAATATAATGAACTAGTTGATAGATTTGAAGAACTTGACATATCAATTAAACTTCCAAAGATGTACTACAACATAACTAAACGACAAATCAAATATTTTTTCGTTTTTCTTATTAGTACGTATGCATTACTTGCATTTGAAAAAATACTCAACGAAATGAACACCTTGAGATATTTTTATTATCCTGTTGACTTTTATGTTGTATTTTGCATTCCACTCTTTCCAAGCGCAATCAATTTATTAAACTTTTTAGTATTTGTGACTATGATAAAGGTACGACTTGAATACATCAACGAAACGTTAAGAATTAAATCACAAAATCAAGTGGATTTAAAAACTTTAAGAGACATGTGTGCACTACACATGAAATTAAACGAACTCACGATGTTAATAAATGATGTTTTCGGAATTAGTTTAGTAGCAAGTGTTGGGTTATTCTTCGTAGTGTTTTTATCAGGTGGCTACACGATTATATTTGCTTTTAAGACGTATGATGTTAATGGGGATATGTATCAGATGCTTCTAACATCAGTAGTGTATAATTATCCATACTTGTTTTTATTCTGGTGGATATGTTATTGTTGCAGACGTACAATTCAAGAGGTAAAATAATATTAACAGTAATAATCATATCTTTATATAAATACTTGCTTCTAGTATACTAAAGTTGGCCAACGTCTACATTCACTCTATACTGGAGAAGAATCGGATGTAATTCACGATCAGATACAAATATTTTCTCTGCAAATTCTGCATGAAAACATGGAATTCAGCGCTGCTGATTTTTTCACTGTGAATTTCACGTTGATTTTTGCTATTATTTGTGCTTTTACTAATTATCTCATAATATTAATGCAGTTTTCTTAAACTACAAGTTACGCAACACATTCTACATATGAAGATATTGTTAAAGGTTAAGGTTACGTTTTGTAATTATAGCTAATTAAATGCCTATGAACTTGAACTATTAATCTTTTTTTAATGTGATTAATATTTGTTTTACTAACCACCAACAATCGATTTTTATAAAGTGTGCGCTCCTAATTAATTTTTACCAATGCTGTGCGTAGTTTGGGGAAAATAATGTCTAAATCAACATATTTTCGATCATCAATAAAACCACTGATTATTTTAACAAATTGTTCTCTATTGCAAGCAACATATTTGAAAACTAGTCTCAAAAACAACGAAAAATACTATAAAATTTACATTTTTCTGAAAATTTTGGTGTTAATATTTGTGCTATTCTTTTATAGTAGAATTTTATTCGTTCTAAATATCCCTCGGCCGTCAATAATTGCCAACAATGTTCGTCAGTTGAATTTTTGTATGATAACAATGACTTATCTTTGCATATTCATAAACAACGTAAGAAAAAACACCAGATACAACGAGTTAATTGAAACTTTTGAAAATTTTGACAAAATATTAAATCTACCAAAGATATACTATAATAAAACTGTAAAACAAATTCAGTTTTTCATTGCATACATTACAAGCACTTATATTTTAATTGCAATTGAAAAATCAAGCAATAGTTTTTACTATTCAAACATATTTTACTATCCATATGAATTCTATATTGTTTATTGCGTTCCATTGTTTCCGAGCTCGGTCAGTATGTTAAACTTTTTAGTATTTGTTAGTATGATTCAAGTACGTCTGGGGTACATCAATGAAAAACTGAAAATCAATTCGGAAAACTGTGAATTTAACAATAATTTGACATTAAAATTGTTGAGAGATATGTGTGCGCTGCACATGAAACTAAACGACATCGCATTGTTAATTAATGACGTCTTTGGCATAAGTATAGTTGTAACTGTTGGAATGTACTTTATGCAATTAATGATAGGTGGATACACAATAGTTATGACTATCAATTCCGACATGGCTGCCAGCGATATGTATAGATTGTCTGCAGCATCAATTCTCTATAATTATCCATACATTACATTATTGTTTTGGATCTGTTATTGTTGTCGATGCACAGTGCGCCAAGTAATATAACTTTAACTTTAATAATAAAATCTTTGATTATTAAAGAAATATGTTTTAGTCTAATAAACTTGGTCAACATTTACACACACTTTACACCGGAGATGAAATTGATTCAATTCAAGAGCAGTTGCAAATATTTTCATTGCAAATTCTGCATGAAAACATGGAATTCACCGCTGGGGATTTTTTTACGATTGATTTTACATTGATCTTTGCAATTGTGTGCACTTTTACTAATTATCTCTTAATATTAATGCAATTTTCATAAAATTTAATTTGTCTACCTCATATATAATTTATTAATGTTGTTCTCCTTTTGTATAAAATTAATTACTTGCTGTTTAATCTTCTTTATTGACATACGAGTAAATATTTGTTTATGTCAACTGTTTGTCATTATTTCTACCACCAGAAATTTATTTTTCAGAAGTTGTTGAGTAGTTATTTAACAACAACAGTAAAATAATGTCTAAATTTTCGTTGTTTCGAAAGTCAATCAAACCAATAATAATTTTATCAAATTATTCTCTTCTAAATGCTAGTTATCTAAATAAGAGTCTTCAATACAACGAAAAAAGTTACAAAATTTTCATCTTCTTAAAAGTTCTAATAATAATATTAGTATTGTGGGCATATGGAAAAATTCTCATTTTTCAAAGCCTTCAATGGCCATCATCAGTTGCAAACATCATCGGTCAATGTAATTTTGCCATGATAACAATCAGCTACCTTTTTATATCCGTACAGAACTTGCAGAAAAACTCAAAATACAACATGTTAATTGAAACGTTTGAAAAACTCGACAAAAAGATGAATCTGCCGAAAAGATACTACAATGTAACACAAAGACAAATTAAGTATTTCATCGTGTACTTAATTAGTAGTTATATTTTTATTATAGTTGAGAAAATATTCAATGGCTTAGACCAGTCAAAATATTTTTACTATCCTTTAGAATTCTATGTAGTATTTTGTATTCCTTTGTTTCCAAGCTCTGTCTGCATGTTAAACGCAATGGTATTCGTCAGTATGATTCAAGTACGTCTGGAGTATATCAGCGAAAAACTCAGATTAATCAAATGGAATAATGAGTTTAACAGTAATTTGACTCTAACATTTTTAAGAGATATGTGTGTGTTGCATATGAAACTAAATGATATAACATTGTTAATTAATGAAGTGTTTGGCATCAGTATAATGGCAAATGTCGCGATGTATTTTGTGCAATTTGTATGTGGTGGATATACAATGGTATTTGCTTTTAAATCCATTACGGACACAACTGAAATGTATCAGTTGTGTCTTACATCAATTATTTATAATTATCCGTATCTTCCTTTATTTTTTTGGATCTGTTATTGTTGTCGCTGTACAATTCAAGAAGTAATATAACTTTATATTGATATAAATTGTTTATTAAAATACTTGTATGTTTTAGTCTACTAAAGTTGGTCAAAGGTTGCATTCACTTAATACTGGAGAAGAAATTGACTCAATTCAAGACCAGATCAAGACATTTTCACTGCAAGTACTGCACCAAAACATAGAATTTTCTGCTGGAGATTTTTTCACGATTAATTTCACATTAATATTTGCAATTATTTGTGCTTTTACTAATTATCTCATAATATTAATGCAATTTTCTTAATTTGTTTTGAATTGTGTTTAATTAATTTGCTTTTAATTTTTGTTATTGACATAAACACCGATATTAATCAATTGTGTACAATCTAAAACTCCATAGAATTATACCTTTTATTTTAATTAATTTTATACTCTACTATAAGTCAGTTAGTAAAAAACTAGAGTAAAATAATGTTTAAACCTTCACAAGTTCGAAAATGTATTAAGCCTATGATTATTTTAACAAATTGTTCACTATTACAAGCAACGTATTTAAAGGAACGTCTTCAAAAAAGTGATAATTATTACAAAATTTATGTTATTCTAAAATGTTTAATGCTAATATTAATAATATCAACATATCTACAAATTCTCTTGATTCAAGAAGTCGCAAATTCATCAGCAGTTGGCAGTGTTGTTCGTCAAGTGAGTTTTGGGATGATAATGACTAACTATCTCTGCATGTTTTTTCACAGTTTACGAAAAAACTTCAAATACAATGAACTGATTGACAAGTTTGTGGAATTTGATAAATTGATAAGCTTTGAAATAAAAGATTACGACGTTACAACGAAACAAATTTACTACTATATTGCTTTTCTATTGACTTGTTTCGTTTGTATTGTGTGTGAAAAATTGTTTAATGGTTTATACAATTCGAAATATTTTCATTATCCGTATGTTTATTATATTGTGTCTTGCAATGCACTGTTTAGTAGTTCTGTGAACTTGCTAAACTTTTTAGTATTTGTTAATATGGTTCAAATGCGATTAAAGTATATTAATGAAAAACTAAGAGTTTATAAACGGAAAAATGAATTTAACAATTCGCTGAAATTGAAGATATTAAGAGACTTGTGTGAATTTCATATGAAATTAAACGACATTGCATTGCTAGTCAATGATGTTTTTGGAATAAGTTTATTGACAACTATTGCATTGTATTTTATGCATTTTATATCTGGTAGCCATACATTAATATTTGTTTTTAAAATTCCAATAGCTACAAATGAAATGTATCAGTTGTTAATAACTTGTATGGTGTATAATTATCCGTATATTGTACAGTTCGTATGGATTTGTTATGGTTGTAGACATGCAGCTCAAGAAGTACTGGTTATTCCTTTGCAGTATCTGTAATAAATATTTTATCAGTTTATTTGTTTTAGTACAACAAAGTGGGCGAAAAATTACATTCACTAATTACTGGCAAAGAAAATGAAATACTTCACAATCAGATACAAATATTTTCACTACAAATTCAACATGAAAATATGGAATTTAAAGCTGCAGACTTTTTTACTGTTAATTTCCAATTGATATTTTCGTTTGTTTGTGCCCTCACTAATTATATTATTATATTAATGCAATTTTCTTAAAATAAATTAAATTATACAACTCATACAGCAAATTAAGCTATTATTAAAGGTTATGGTGTTATTTGACATACATTTAGTTAGGCAACACAAACTACAAACATCAAACGCAGTTTAGGTTATAATTGCAATAATGATTGATTCATTTTAAATACATCCATACAAACATCCAAACAAAAATATATTTTTCATTATAGTTATTTACTTTTGTATCTACTAATCGACTCTAATGAATCAATTGTCATTATGAACAATAAAGTCAGTTAAATAAAAACAAACAGTTATAGTTTAGTAATTCCAGGTGTTTTCTACAAAAATGTCTATTGATCCTAAACTGTTTCGCACAACAATTAAATCTATGATAATTTTAACAAATTTTTCATTAGTACACGCGACGAATTTAAAGAAACCTCTCAGAACCAATGAAATCTATTTTAAAATATATCTAATACTAAAATTAATACTTTTAATACTGGTTATATGGGCATACTCAAGAATACTATTTGTTCACTACAAAGTATGGCCAACAATAGTTGCAAATGTTGTTCGACAATTGAATTTTGGCATGATGCATTATTGTTATGTCTGTATATGGATACACAGTTTAAAAAAGAACTCAAAATACAACGAATTAATCGAAACTCTCGAAGAATTTGACGAAAATATTAAACTTAAAACGTCTTATTACAAGACAACAAGAAGACAAATATACCTTTTCATTGTATTTATTATTACTACTTATATTTGTATCGCTATCGAAAGGACTTTTAGTATAATGAAATCTTCAAATTATTTCTATTATCCATATGAGTTTTATATAGTGTATTGCATTCCACTATTTGCAATCGCTGTCAATTTATTAAACTTTTTAGTATTTGTTACAATAGTAAAAGTGCGTCTGGAGTACATCAAGGAGAACCTGAAAATGACGATAACTTTAAACCTTTTAAGAAATATGTGTTCCTTGCACATGAAATTAAATGACATCGTTTTATTAACCAATGAAGTGTTTGGAGTGAATTTAATCGCAATTACGGCAGTGTTCTTTGTACAATTTTTATCTGGCAGCTACACGATCGTATTTTCTTTCTTGATGTCAACTGGTATAACTGACATGTTGCAGTTGCTTCTCACATCTGCAGTTTTTAATTCTCCATATCTGATTTTATTATGGTGGATTAACTTTAACAACAAAATCGTTACATAAAATATATTTTTAGTCTATGAAACTTGGTCAGCATTTACATTCTCTCTGCACAGAAAATGAAATTGAATCAATTCAAGACCAGATTCGAATATTTTCACTGCAAATTCTGCATGGAAACCTGGAATTCACCGCTGGAGATTTTTTCACAATAAATTTCACATTGATTTTTGCTATTACTTGTACTTTGACAAATTATATCATTGTATTAATGCAGTTTTCCTAAAATATATAGCGATATGCAACACAAATAACAAATGATGATATTGTTTCAGGTTATGTAACACAAAAATCAGACGAATAAAGCTTTATTAATTATAATATTCATTTCAATTTACAATTGGCAGTTATGACTGATATTAAATACGTTTATTAACAATAATGGCACTTGATATTGGATATTGTATTACTTGTTATCTACAGCTAACCAATCGCGTTGGTTTGTTATTACCTGAGTTGAACTAATTTCATTTGCTAACTGGAGAGAATTTGTCAATAAGCCGAATAAAGTTAGCACATAGAACACATGCATTGTACTATTCTAAACCTAAACAATGATAGGTTCATTACATATTTGGCTTGGATGCAAAAGTTTGAATCCTACACTACTGGAGAATTCCATGAAGACATCCATTTCTGCTCCTTATAGAAAGAGTTATCAGCAAAGTTCTGATCCGTAAAATCATCCCTGTTGTTGTTATCATCGTCGATAACCATAAACGCAGTCATTCTATCAATCTGCTCATTGATACTTGCGTTTTTCGGTGGTTTCTCCCAACGTTTTCTATCAGAATAAGTAATATTGTATAATTTATGCGTTGGTATCGGAGATGTCGCTGGTGTATAAGCAAGATCTTCAACTTTTACACTATTACTGTATCGATTCCCGGTGCGATCTCGATGTTTCTTGTCTTCGTATTCACTTGAGGAGCCTTTGGCGAGTCTACTGGTCTTTCCAGACCGACTGAGGGATCTGGTCCGGCTGCTTCTGGGCGGCAGTGGGCTTGGCGATCGGCTGTTGAGACGAGAAGAACTACTCGAGCGGAATGTCTTTGGATGTTCGATTTTTGGACCAAAGAGTTGCGTTTCCAAAGTGTTGATCGATGGCATGCGGCGGGGTATACGCGAATTGGTACTACTAGAGTATGCGGTTTCTTCCGCTGTGGTAGTTGTGGTAGTGACAGTCGCTGAAGTTGACGTCGTTGGCGTCGCTATCGGAATCAAACTTTTACTCGCTGGTTTTGAATCGACGCTTGTTCTGAAATCGCAAATTGCAAACTTCCGTCATCATCAATTTACCTAAACAAAGAAATTAGTTTAGAGTTTGGATTAACGAGCATTGCATTCCAAGCCAAAGAAACCAATTGCAAATCGCAGTGAATAGTTGAAATCTATAGTGTCGTTAATCTAAACTCTAAAAAGAGTATGTAGGTATGTAGGTGTGTACATACGTGGTGTCATTTGTGGTCGTACTGGTAGTGGTGGTGGGTTCAACACCATTGACTTTTTTCTGGTCGACGTTCAATATCTCGAAAGCCCGCTTCGGGGGCAGGCTGGCAACGCCGGTCAAATTGTCCAGCGGGCGATGCTTGTGGTCAACGCGCTCGCGGATCAGGTAATTGACGTACGCTTTGCGATATTCCGGCTGGCATACGAAGTCGCCCTCCAATTTGAATTCCGGCTCGCGTTTCAGCGCGTCCGGCTTGCGATGGCCCGGATATTCGATATACGCGGCGCGCTTTTCCGTCATGTGATCCATCTGCAAATTGAACAAGTGTTCGCCCAGCGGAAACGAATTTGTAACGTATAGCTTTATTATAATGTGACAAGCGGACAACAAAAAATAAATTGAGTGTCGTATAATATTTTGCCACAACAAAAAAAAACAGATTAATGTGTGATGAACAAATTACAAAAAAAAGCTTCATACAAAATCATAAATTACTTAAAAACGCAATAAGGTAGGATTGTATTTTTTACCATTTTACCCTACAATATTTAATTATTTTATATTCTAATCTAATAGAGATTTTTTCAATCTTCCATAATCTGGAATTCGTTGGATTGTAGCGCTTTTAGTTTCGAAGATATTCACTAGCAAAAAACGTCGAAAAAAATCATCAAGCACCCCCATTTCCCATTTTTTCTTATAAATTAAAATTTCATATAACAGATTGCCGTTTTACCTATCTTATCTTATAAAGAATAGTCCGTAGATTAAAACGTTGCGATGCGATCCTAATTATCTCTTTTAGTTTACGAGATATTCGCGATTGAATAAAATGGCCAAAATTGAAAAATATCACTTTCTAGCACTTTTAGTCACGTTTTTTGACCTTTTGCCATTAGAAATATTATTATTCTGTATTTTTATCTGATAGAGAATTTTCCCATCTTTCATAACCAGCAATTCGTTGGTTGCTATCTCTTTTAGTTTCAAAGATATTATTTATTGAAAATCCTCGAAAACAAATATCAAGGACCCCCTTGGCAATTTTTTTCTTAAGAATGAAAATTTCATCTCTCAGATTTCCGTTTTAACTATCCTATCTTATAGAGAATAGTCTGTAGATTAAAACGCTGCGATCAGATCTTATTTATCTCTTTTAGTTTACGAGATATTTATTATTTAATAAAATGGGCAAAATTTGAAAAATGTCACTTTTTAGCACTTTTAGTCACGTTTTTTGACTTTTTGCCATTAGAAATATTATTATTCTGTATTCTTATCTGATAGAGAATTTTCCAATCTTTTATAATCAGCAATTTGTTGGTTGCTATCTCTTTTAGTTTCCGTTTTAACTATCCTATCTTATAGAAAATAGTCCGTAGATTAAGACGCTGCGACGCGATCCTAATTATCACTTTTAGTTTACGAGATATTCGCAATTGTAAAAAAATCATGTGTGCAGTTCACACGCGGTAGAAGTGAAACCTTCAGTACACTGCACTGCGAGAGAATGAGATGAAAGTAGTATCAGAAGTGAGATAATTTTAGGATTTATTTATTATAACATTGGGATCAAGTGTAAAAGTTATTTAATATTTTTCTGCCGGTATTCACGACATTTATCGGCATTAGTTTTTGGTATACTTGAAGATTGTTATTACAGTAGGTATGTTAAGAAAAAATTCAGAGTCAAGTGGCTTGTGGCAAGTTACGAAGCATCGCACAAAGAGGAGACGAAGATAATAGGAAACACTGTATATTTGTGTTCTCTTATTCTCTCGTAGGCTAAACCATATAATCGAATATGTTTGTCTCTCTTTAGTGTCGTTTCATTAATTTTGAAATCACAACGATTCTAAAGAAGTTTTTACTTCAAAAATGTCTACCTTTTAAATTAAATTAAATATTTTACATATGTTCAATAACTTTTGTAGCAAATGTAAATGTAATTATCAAGTTTAATTTGTCGCAGCATCGTTTAAATAATTGAATTTAAATTAATGTGTTTCAGAGGCAGCATGGCTGCGTGACATCAAAGTCAAGGAAAGTTTGCGATGTGCATACATTAGCGGTGGGTGAGTTTATGTTAAACTACCACATGGCTATACAACGTACTCGTACAACCTTGAGCCCCACTGGTGACAGAAACTTTCGCCATTTCAAGGTAAACGTTTTTTCTTGTGCACAATCAAATCAATATCACCTACTGTGCTAAATAAACTTTCGCTTACTTCGCAAACAAGCATACAAAAGGAACAATGTACTTACTTCACCCTCACTGGACAAATGCGTTTCCGGTTTACGAATTTTTCCCGGCCTTTGTCTCGGAAAATCGACAAAAGCGCGTCTGTACTCCGGATTTGTCTCCATGACTCCCTCACTACGTAGATTCGGTTCGACTCGTCGCCTACGCACGGGCGAACTAAAATTAGAAGTCTTGTAAAAATCCACGTACGCGTTCTTGTACTCCGGGCTCATGTCGAATTGTCCTTCGAGCTGAAGATTATGCGGTTTCCTGCCATCGCCACGCGTTGGCGGATGCTGCTGTTGATGTTCCACGAACGCGTGACGATTTTCCGTCATCGACTCAATCTCACCCTCGAGGTTTAAATTCTGTCCTCGTTTGAACGCCGTTGATCTTTCGATATTATGCGGAATAAATTTCTCTCTGTATTCTGCCCTACTCACTGGTTTATCATCACCAAGCAATAGCTTTCTATTAAATGCAGAGCCTCTGAGAAAAGGAATAGGCGGGTGTATTTGATGACTTATAAATTTTTCTTGATTCTCTGTCATGGAATCAAAAAAGCCATCAACTCGGAGGTTGTGTCTTGGTAGACTAGGTGAAGATCTTTCACTACCAGGATGATCCACATATTCATGTCGGTATTCAGGACTCATTCTTAAGTCACCTTCAAGACGAAGATTTGTTGAACGTTTTACCAATGGTGGTCGTATTTCAGAAGGATCAGTTGAATATGGTATAAATTGATCATGATTCTCGGTAGTTATATCCAAATCTCCTTCGAGACGTAGATTGGTTAACTTTTTGTACAACATCGGACGAGGTTGTACCTCGTATGCAGCGTATTGCTCACGGGTTTCAGTCTTTTTATTCTCCATCTCACCCTCAAGCCGTAGATTCGTATTGTGTCTAATCAGCGATCGGCGCTTTTCGAGCAAATATTTGATAAACTGCTCGGCCTTTTCGGTGGTTGGTGTAAAGTCGCCTTCGAGTTTTAAACTCGTCGAGCGGCGGATCGGCAACGTGCGGTCGACGGGTGCATGTTGGATGTACTGCGCACGGTTTTCCGATTTATGATTACCAAAGGATCTGAAAGTAGCCGGATCATCAATCACTACCCCAAACGAAATAAAAACGAGGCGAAACAAAACGCGATACTATACAAAGACGGGTTTAATTTAAAAAGGATTTGAGCCGCGCGAGGACCTCACCTGGCGCGACCAAGGGCCGACTGAGGGTAGTCTGGCCTCGTGGCGGCTAACGATACATGATGATGACGTGACCGCCACCGGCGAGAAAGTTGAACTACTTCTAAGTTGGGTGTGCGATTTGCATTTCGTTTTTATTTATGTGAAAATATCTGGAAGGTCCTACTATTTATGGTTAAATCGATATTTTGGGCTATAAAGAACCTATTTTGTATAAGAGAGTAAACATTAGCTAATTATAAAAAACGATCACTTTCATCAAGAAAATCTCATTTCCTTCGACTTTTCACGCCTTAAATATCCAATAACTAAAATTAAATTTCTTTTCATGGCGTAGAGTATGAAGCAAAAACATATTATGATCATTTATAATCTCCCTAATGACTATTATAGATTCAAAAAGAAAATTTAATAAGATTGAATCTCTGGTCGTTCTAATGGACGCATAAAGATTTATGAATGAAACCCCCTTTGGAGCGATATTTGCACGCGCGACCTACTAACCCACAAAGCGCCTAAAACTCCAACCGCCTCCGCTATTTCTTAATCAGTTGCGGCACCCACCGCGGCAGTAATTTAATTTTTGTGCATTGATATGCATTAAAGATTAAAAACTGATAATGGGATTTTTTGTTTTCTTTATTGTATATAGGTACATTCCGAGAAATGTAATTTTTAATGATTATACACGATCTCAACCTCGACCGAACAACTAAACAACTTGGAGGGTCGACTTGTGATTATTATCAACACGCCACACAACTATTTATTATAATAGATGAATAATCTGGATTATTATGCGTTGATTCTAATGGCGTGTTTCAATAAACGTTCTTTTGTTATAATAAAACCTACATTTAGAAATAGAAGAATACCTTGTTTAATGATATCTTGATTAATGTTATTTTCTTATTTTTATATAAACAAAGTTGGTGAGGTTAAGTTATTTATAAGTAAAACAGCGTGGGAAGTTTTTTAAGTTCTCTGATTTCCTAGAATTTCTTCCGCTTTGAATAACAGAATTACTATTAATATATTCGCAAAGTTTCAAAGAAAATAATTTATGATGAAAAGGGATTTTCTCTATAAAATTATATTATGTATGTAGATATAATACTAGGATTCTGAGCTCTTCACATAGTGAAGGTAGCATTAGCATTAGCGCCATCTGTGAGTGAGTATTCTAAGTAATATGTTGTCAAATCCAAAGAATGATTTTTAGTTTAAAATCTATTTTTTAACGTTAATCTATAAGGAAATAGGATGTAAAACGTTAAAAATGGCTGTGTTATACATGTGTAAATAAATTAAATGTATGTATTGCTGACAATACCACAAAATCCCACTGCTTACCCCAAATGATCCCCTTGACGAGGCATAGCGTCGAGTTGACGCTTGTATCGCCTGTAGGTGTTCAACGGCTGTGCCGCCGCGCGTTGTTCGATTGGAAATTCAATAAAAGATTCATGGTACTCGGGCTGCAGCTCGTTCCCGTCGGCGTCGTCGTCCTCCTCTTCGCCGATTCCGAGGTGATCGCCCGGTTTATTCGGTCTCGTCGGCGACAGATCCTGCAAGCAAATTACCATCAGGCCTCCGCTTCGGTGAGCGCATGAAAACACACGCCTCTACTCGCGAGGGAAACAAGTACTCAGGACCAGAGGTGAACGCAAAGGTCCTAAAAGAATCAAAACCGAGCGCTGGGAGCAAGGCATTGAGCAAAAAGTGCTTTAACTTTGCTGCTCGCAAAAGCAACCGAATGGAACTTTGTGCAAACATTTGTTCAAAGTCCCATTACATACGTTATATCAAAGCAACAGTTGACATTTTACATTCAAGTACATGTATTGAGGATTGAACTTAATTCAAAATACCTTCAGATCGTAAAGAAGGGCACTGCGGGTGTTGGCGTCGTAATAATCTCGAAATCGGCGACGATATTCACTTTTCAGTAGCTTGAAGTCACCAGTTTCAAGGGTCAAGTGATCCTTTTGTTGATTTTCAACTAAATTAATGTTATACACATTAATATTAGTGTTAGCAATATTTTTTTCTTAAAATAACAACCTGGAGCACGTTTTTTACGATAAAACCGCAGCTCATCGACGGTAAACCCCGGCGGGTAGCCGGAATTCCTCCAATCGCCCTTGTCAGCTGCCGTCGTGAGGTCTGGCTCCGATCGGAATTCACCGTCTACTCTGGAATAACAACAAACAAACCAGATTAATTAAACTTACAATTTTGGTTGGTTATAAAATCATTCCAATGTTGATCTATGTGAATGCGAATCAATTATTGAAGCCCATACATTATGCAGATGCATCAATCACAATTGACTTGCAATCGAATCTGATGGACTTTACTGGCACGAAAGGATCGTTAGGTGTCTTGAAGCTTTCATTTAGACAACGTCGAATTGGGGCACGCAGCAATAGCATTTAGAATTGAGTACAAGTGCATCCTTAGCATAAATAGCATTTGCAATGATTGCATTAATTGGGAGACCAATAAGTCTACTCATGAGACCACTAAAAGTTATATTTACTTAAACATGCCACTAGATGGCGACACTTTTATAACCTATAAAATTACATTTCATTTTTTTGTCCTGTTTAAAGCAAAAACAACCCTGTTAATGTGTTTGTTCAAATTTTTTATGCACAGCAATTTGATCAAAAGCTTTGCAAGCTCTTTGAACAGTTTTGCAATTATAAACAAATATAAACCCCCCAAGCTATAAAAAAACGGCGTAACAGCGATCGTAAAACCCGTAAATCATGACTACTCGTAAACTACCCCATCGGGTCCAAGAGCGCCATATGACACAGCACACAGCACATCATGTCATTAAACAGTAAACTTTTTTTTTCCAAACATATTTCCTTCCGTTAAAGCAAAAAAATTACCCGCGTGTTTATTGAACACTGCACCGAAATTAGGTCATGCTAACATTTAATGTTTATATCTAATTATCACATTATCACTCATCATTATCAATGGGCGCTTGCATTTTTATACAATTTATTTCTATTATATTACACATTCGTGTTTTTTATTCGTAAAGTTAAATAACTCACTAACTTTGTCAGTGATGATAAGGGAATGTTTAAGTTGACGAAGGCAATCAATATCAGCTAATGATTGGGCACAGGGGTGCAATTCAGCGCGTCGGCATGCGAAACAAAATCGATTTTAATTTACCTGGAAAGCATTCGAAATCTAATCTTGATAAAGCTTCGCTAAAGTGTAATCGCCATAATCACTAATAATTTTTAATTGAACCAGCATTCAACACTTTAATCGGCTTCATTATTTATATTAAGCAAATTGAACATAATTCACCTAACACCTAAGGAAAGGGCAATAATAATATAGCTACAACTAAAAATATAACAGAAATTAGCCTTGAATTAGTTTAATTATAATCCATGCCATGTATTTCTCCATTGTACAACTTTAAATTGTTATAACTTTTTAATTTTTAATTGTTAATCAACATATTTGTGTGCCAGGATGTGGAATTTAATTATAAATAAATTTTTAAAATATGTATAATAATATTAAAAACAGTTTTTAAAAAATTTACGAAAAACTGTAACAATACTGTAACTGTAACAACTGTAAGATTGTAATTCAACATAACCTACAAATAAAATGAATGATGTATTGCCTACATTACATGTAAACTCCAATGATTATGGCTATAACACATGTAGATGTAATATTTCTTTTATATTTCCCTTGATTGAATTTTAATGTCAAGGTTAATAACTACTAACCTATGAAAATTATTAATGGATTACCTTTATAAATATGTATTATTTTTACCACACACAAGGTGATATCACTTGTTGATCTTTGTACTTTAAAGGTCTTGTTACGGTTAACAAGCCACAACCGATTACAACAACGTTGATCACCAAGCAAGGATGAAAACAAACTAAAATTCTGCTCATATAGCAAACAAATTTTGCAGTTTGCACTGATCGCATGTCAATTTATTCCATTCCTTTACCCTTCAGTCCCTTAACGCGTCAGCTCGGTGCCTGGTACGCTCTGCTACAACTCCTTATCAATTCGCGAAATGTTTTCTCTTTTTTATTTTCCTTCCCTACCCTTCCCTACATCAATACCACAGCTTACAGTCCGTATGCATAAAATAACAGCGTTTTTCAATCTACAAACCTAGATACTAACCCAAACTTGGAAGTAAACCCTTGCTGAAAAATAAAAACATCGGTTTTGGCATCCACATTCAAATACGGTTTGAAAGTAGGGTAACCCTAAGCAGACGGCTGGCTATTTTGTATTTTTCATAAATCCAGTACTCTAGGGGTGGATAAAAGGTACAAACATACGATTCCACACTGACACAACCAGCTCATGATATATCGCATGCAATGTTTTGCAACGTTTGGCAAACCGTCGCCATATGAGAGCAAGAAGGACGAATGAAGGATAACTGTGTGCTAAACAGTTAAACCAACAACGGGGCACAAACAGTGAATAGTGAATAGCGTGACTGATTTAAGGAATTGCCGGGTGTAATGTATACAACTCGCCTCAAAATCTGATCACGTTTGACGGTGACGTCTCGACCATCGCTATGACCCCCTAACCTAATTTGCAACACCATCTAAACACTTACAACTGCCATTAATTCTAATTCTAGGGTTGGCGAGCGTTTAATTATACTGGAATGGTTTAAATTGTTCAACTTTGATTGTGAATAACCTCAAACTCAAATTGTAATTTGCACCAAATCAAGACATAACCAAGTTTGGTGTATTATAGCGTCAGTAATGGATTTAATCAAAACATATTATTCATCTGTTACATAACCTACAAAACACTATTTAAATAGCCATTATCTTCAATCTAATGTAACCTGTAATTAAAAATTAAATAAATTTGTAATCGATAAAGGTTAATCATTAACCTAACGGGCGTTGGCCTTGTCCTTGAAACTTTCAATTTCCTCTTCGTTGCGTACACCAATCAACAATCCGCAACCCGCACGTGTACGCCACCTCAAACGGTAAGTTACATCAAAGGCAGGCGACGAAAACGAAATTATTAAAGGTTACAAAACCATAAATATATTATGTGATATTATGTGAGATTTAATATTAAAGCAAAAATTTAATAAAATACTCAATGATTCAATTGTATTAAATTTCCAATTTGAAAAAACAATTAATTTTAACAAATCAATAATTGAGCGGAAAAACAAACAGAACATATTTAATTGTTTGTGTAATTAAATTTATTATTTAGACAGGTGTTTTTATTTGTATTTACTTTGTGAAATGTTTTTTATGGACTGTTTTCAATGAATATTATTTTATTCATTTACACCTACAGCTGCCTACTACATTCGCATAAATACGAAATGGTATAGATTTCATCAATTGTTATCACTGCGAGTCGTGACGCACGGTTTGCAATTGGCTGGGATATTCGAAACCTGCAAGTGTTTAATTTCCACCCTCCAGATGTAATTAACCTTCGAAATCGAATTGAATTCATTTTCGAAATGGATGCTCTGATTTTATTTCTGTGCGAAATGGTGAAATTCATGTTGATAAATTTTATATAACCATATATTAATTGAATTTGTTTAGCTAGAATTTTACCACCATAATTCGATCATTATTAAACTATTTTATTCTCATGCATTATTTATATATGTTCATGTACATGAACTTGATGGAATGTAAATGACTCTAATGATACGTTTAATCTATTCTACGAAATACGTGAGTAGGTTATCGTTCGCTTGATTATTGAATCCGTGGAAGTTGTCTACCAGTGTTCATTGTCCTTGTTTTCAGCATGTTTCAGACATTTAACATTATTTATTTAATACATTTTTGTACAAATCGCGGTTTAACATGTTTATTTATGCTTATAATTCCACCAAAATTATAATATACATAACTTAAAGCGTAATTTACCAGTAGCAAAAAGAAAATTTCAAAATTAATTATTTATCTTTCAGTTAATTAACTTTAAAGTGCAAATATCGAATTAAAAATTTATCTTGTGGACATTACAAGCGCCTGAGCGTATGCAACCTTAATGACTGTTAAAATCTTTGGTGTTTCTTTTAATTTTTAATGATTCTTATGCAAAATCTACTTTATAGTGTATAAAACATTCATGAAATATTTCTCCTTTGTTAGTTGCGGCGATAAAAAGTTTATTACTTACAAATTCGTTCGTTAACGTGCGAAACAACGGCAATTTCCCAACATAATTCGTACGCAATTTAGGAATTATTTTCTCCTCGCTGCCGCCTTTGTGGAATTTGCACTTTATTGCATTTACCTAGCCGCCTAGTATTATACATAACACAGTATGCATAGTGTATACGTGGATCACTAAAATCAGAGATTAGGGTCGCTGATTAAATTGAAATACCCTTGACTTATTAACAGGCGATTTATTCCACGCATTAAATTGCGGTCGGGGTCCACACAGAGGCGTTTTGCAACTTTGTGCAAATTTCGAAATTGCGCACTCTCGACTAGTCTGGAATTTGTATTTGAAATCAATTATCATAGATTTGATTGTAGTTTAATCAGTTTATTGCAGAACTGTTGCACTCAAAGCATACGAAATTACTAGAGAACAAACGCAGCACGTCAAATTAATTACTAACAATTATAATAACATGAAACAGAAGCATATAACACTTTGTGTTGATAATTATTGCATTAATTGTTTGTTAGTAATTTGGAGGTTTGAGGACGTTAATGTACTCTTAGTATTAGTATACTGCTATTGTAAACAGCAAGTCAACGTGGGGATGTAGCTCAGTGGTAGAGCGTTCGCTTTGCATGTGAAAGGCCCCGGGTTCGATCCCCGGCATCTCCAAAACTCTTTTATGTTTTTTTTTACCTTTTTATTGCTATTTACCTTTTTTGCGGCAATTTTATTACTTTTCAAGCGCGATAATGCCTCTTTATTACTTACCCCTTCATTTCGTAACTTGTGAATGCGTACACTTATCTCGTTCACCTTGAGAGATCCATTATGCGTTAACAACTTAATTTCTTATGGTTTTACTTGCACCCGCGCGAATCGGGCGCTGATAATTTTCGTAATTTTCGCTCCGAGTTTTTCATTGTGGCGAGCGCGGTCGCGTGTTGACCAGCGACTGCTTGCAAGTTTATCCAAGTTTTCGTTGCCGTTGCGCTGGTCACGACGTTGTATCGTTGGTTACGCGCGTTACAATTCATTTAGTCGGTGGGTGGGTGAACGGAATTAGTTACTAGTGAATAAAGGTAGTGGTAGTTTCACGTTTCACATTTCACATTGGCTTGCGTGTGGCCAAGTGTGACTAGGGCAAGCATTACATAGTTTTTCACTTTGGTACACTACTTTTAATCGTTTATCCTTCAATTCGTCTTTTAATAGTTTTTATTGATATCTATTTATTTTTATACTACGTGCGCAGTAAGTTAAGTTAAATTATTAGCTATTAGCCACTCCCACAACACCTTTAACCTCAATCGTACGCTTTAATAATGTCTTTTAAAACTGTCATGGTTTATTAAATTTAATTTTTACAAATGCACATTAATTTTAATCACTGAAATATTTTTCAAACACGGTCTATGCTTAGAAATGTCAATTGACTCTTACAATCATCGGCTTCCTTGAGTGATTATCAAGAGAATTTCTCTCATCATACATACTTGAAAGAATTTGTAGTAACATGTCGTAAGATTGCGTTGGGAGAGTTTCCCTGAGACAGTTGAGTAGATGTCCAGGATCTGCACATACTGAAATTGCGTGTGCAAAATGAACAATGGCTTCTTCCCATTTCTCACAGAGCATCAGTTTTTCGGCAACTTGTATCTCGTTGATAATCATCGCTTCCCGAAACTGCGGATCAATTGTCGCCGGAGAGATTTCATAATATGGTATCTGTTCCTTTCGTAGTTTAGTGCGCTTCTCCCGCAAACGTTTCTTTAAATTTGCATTCTTGTACCTTTCCCTGTCGTAGTAGAAGCAGACGGACAATATGGTCGCTCCGAATAATAAACAAATGATGCCGATTGCACGTTGCATAATGAAATAACTTTACTTTTAAATGTTGTAAATTTGATTTGTTGCGCACCGTGTTTTACTTTAGGTATTCGTTACATTTGCTTCATGACTTGACATTTTTTTCTAATAATTTTTTGGAGGATGTGATTGACATATCCTTCAAAAATAATAATTGCATTTCAAATGTTGTTTTTGTTGTTGAAATTTTAAATTAATAAATTTAGTGCTTCTGTTATATGCAACCTGTAGATGTGGTGTATTAAGTGTTGCCTACGTTAAATCTTTAATTCATTGTTGTGTTAACAGCTGAGTTCTGCCACCTGAATGTTAATCAGATTTTATCTATTTAATTATGATATAATTCGTAAACGTTGATAAAGTGCGTGCGGTGGTGCATGCTCGGTGCACAATATGAGTAAAAACTTGCAATCTCCGACCAAGTTAACCGAATTCGCACCGTTACAAGCCGAGGAAAAACAGGACACAGTTGGACAATTGTTTTCAAGAATATTCAGCTTTGGAAAATCTACTTTGCGGCCGGAACAAGCCACATCATCAGCTGAAAATGCCGATAATATATCACAAGAGTCTTTACCGGCTTGGGCAACCCTTGAAAGGGATGAAGCAAGTGACACAGTGGTGTATGAAGTGGATGTTGCTGAAGGAAGAAGTTTGCCCAGTGTACTCAAACGAATAAGTAATTTATTAGTACTTAAAAGCAATGTAGGTATTATTTAAGAATATGTCTCCATTAAAATGTCTATAGGTTTGATCTAACAATTTCATTTCCTTAGAATTTTCAAGCATATTCTGACTCAGAGTTAAAACAATATTGGATGCCTGATTCAGTGAGTAAAGAATGTTATGAATGCTGTGAAAAGTTTACTACATTTAGAAGAAAGCATCACTGCAGAGTTTGTGGGCAAATATTCTGTTCATCTTGCTGTAATCAGCAAATACCAGGAAAAATATTTGGTTGCACAGGTAATAGATTTGTGATAAACATCTAGTTCAATCAGTAACTAACATTTAAAATGCATTTTAAGGGGATTTAAGAGTTTGTACCTACTGTTGCAAAGTAGTTCTATCTTACCTGCAATCAAACGATATCGGATCGGATTTAACTGCAGATTTACGAGCGTTGCAAGAAAATTTACAATCGAAATACGGCGATATTTCATCTTCTTCCTCACCAAGCCAAAGCACCTTGTCTCCTAGTAGCGGAATAAATGAAACAGTCGCGGATAAAACTAATACAGTTAAGAGGAAGATATCAGTGGGATATCAAGAGGAAAAGTTTGCATCAGGCAGGTAAAGAATCACAATTTTACAGCCGATATTGCAACTTTTAAAGATAATATTTTATTAAAGAGGATCAAGTTCTTATCTAACATCTGAAGAAAAATGTCGAGCATTACAAAACTCCGCATCTCTGCGGAATCTGTACGAAGAAATATGTCGGCCGAATGGCGGAATCTCACTCAGGAAACAACGCTATCGTTTAAGAACATATATTAATACCTTTCTAGGCTCTGAATTAGTTGAGTGGTTAATTTATCAACAGAAAGCCAATACAAGGTATAATATATCCCATTTTTGTAAAATGTTGGTTGATATTTATATTTTTAAAGAGTTCAAGCGGCAGCATTTTGCCAGGCCCTTCTAGATGGTGGCTACATAATTTGCTTAGCAGATTCGCCATTTTTCATCGACGGAAACTCACCCTATAAAATAGGCGTCGTATCCTCACCGGAAGTGCCTCCAAATACGCAGAATTTCGAAGCGTCCATACAAGACGAACCGACTTGGGTACAAAATATCCCTCAGGACACAACCAATACAGGTGATTCAGTTGTGACCAATAAACGGTTGCGAATGATGCTAATTTTATTGTCATATTGAAGTTTATCGTTGTTTACTCAGCGTGTAAACAATCGATAACAATCGTATCGCTTTACGAAACTGCAACGAACTGGTCGTGACCAGACGATTAGTCTACATTGCCTACACCCCCACCATCATAACAAGATCTTTTCAGCGCAATGTTATTGTTCACTCACCGTTTCAAAGTCGTTTCGTGCGGTTCACTTAAAATGAAGTTTATACGCTCGTTTTCACTCACACATCTTTATAAATCTTGTAATTTTACTAAAATTTTATATTTTTAACAATAATAATTTGATTTTATATAATTATAGATTCAGAAGGTGAACAAATCTCCCCAACAACACCACATGTATCTGCCAGAATAACTTCTTCATCTTCTTACACACTTGATTTAAACGTTGGAGCAAATACGGTGTATTTATCAAAACCACCAGCTTTGATATCAAGCACTACAAGTGATGATTTTGAAGGAAATAATGATCCTAATAGAGTGGTTGAAAATGTGACGATACGAACATCGCAACAACATGAACGTGTGCCTGAAAGTGGCTGGCATATTGCCACACAACTTCGCGAAGAAAATGGCGAATCTGCTGCTTACAAACTTCTAACAACTGCTTTTGAACAACACGAAACTACTCTTGTGAAGCAGTTGTTAAGTGTGGTTGGTTTATCTCTAACTTGGAGTAACATTATAATGCCTTTGATTCATGAAATTGTGGATGTCATAAGACCAGGTAAGAAGAGTTATTATCCTTTGAATATTTTTACTTTATAAACAAATTTTAGATGTCAATCATAATGCTGAAGAATTAGATATTCGTAATTATATTCAATTTAAGAAATTAACGGGTGGTGCGCGGTCTGATTGTGAATTAGTTCGCGGTATTGTTTTCACGAAAAACGTAGCGCATAAAGCAATGTCTTGCCGTTTAGAAAATCCAAAAATATTATTGCTTGAATGCGCCATTGTCTACCAACGTACAGAAGGGCGTTTAATGTCATTGGATCCTGTATTGATGCAAGAACAACAGTTTCTTACGCATGTCGCTGATAGAATTTTAGCACTCAAACCAGACATTGTTTTGGTACATAGAAACATGTCGCGGTTAGCTCAGGATATTCTACGACAAAAAGGAGTAACTATTGTTCTAAACGTTAAACAAAGTGTACTGGAAAGAATCGCAAGATGTACGGATGCTGATTTAGTCTCTTCGATTGATGCGAGAATCAGTGCGCCAAGATTAGGCACTTGTAAAACTTTTATCTTAAAAACTTCGATACGGATCGAGGTGGTTGTAAAACCTTGATGTTTTTCGAAGGCCTATCCCAACCACATCTTGGTTCTACTGTTTTATTACGCGGTGCATCTAAAACAGAATTATTGGAGATAAAATCAGTTGCATCATTTTTACTCTTTGCTTGTTATAACTGGAGATTAGAGAAATCATTCCTAATGGACGAATTCGCCTATCCACGTGTGACAAAAGATGAATTCTTTGACGATAGCAAAGAAAATTCCCCTGTTTCACCCGTTCACGAATTGAGCAAACAACGACGTAAGATGATAGCAAGTAATATTCTGTTTGGAAGTAATGAGAGCGATACAGAGTATTTCAACTCTACAAAAGTTGATAAAGAGTTAAAAAACAAAGTGGTTGAAGAGAAGAAATCTATTACCGAGCCAATACAAGATTTTAGCGATCCACTACATTCGTACAACGTTGATGATGTTTTTAAAGAGAACACAACGCAAAAAATGTCCGTGGCTGATTTGCCGTTTTCGAATCAGTTCCGCAAAGCATTGGACGACACGATTCTATGCATTTCACCGTATTTAGTGTTTTCGGTGCCTTATCTGGAAACAGAAAATGGAAGAAAATGCAAACTAAGGAATTACTTTCCAACGCAGATCTATTACAGCGAACAGTTTATGAATAACAAGAAAAAGAAGTTGTCCAAAGATATGGATGTTTGTAATTTAGTTAAAAACGAAAAAAATGTAAGTATTATATTCTTCAATGTTATCGTTTATAATAATGCTTGAATTTATAGATGCGAGCACCGCATGAATTTGTTACCAAACCAATATCCGACAGTATAGATTCCAATGAAGTACAAACGTTACTCACACATTTCCGTGCATGTGGAGGGCGCCTACCAAAAAAACCTCTTTTAGATATTAAGCCAATTGAAGAGATAAACAAGGAGAAACGTCACGAGGATGTTTTGGATGTGTTGAATCCACGCAATCATCAACGTATGGCTGTGTTATTCTGTAGCTTTAGTAAGGAGTCGATTAATGCTCCTGCGTTTTGTGTCAATCCATGGTAAGTTTTTCTCTTTTGAATTTATTTAATTGATTATTGATTGTGTGACTTTAAAGGGTTGTTTATATGGCATTTTACGGTCAGAACGATATTCCTCTTGGTTGTTTCCTAATGCGTTATTGTTTCTCGCCACAATACCATTGTCAGTCAAAGTGTGAAACACCTATGTTAAAGCATGTGCGTAAATTTGTTCACTATACCGGATGTGTGAGCATCACACTCAATCATATTGAGACTCTTTCCAAAGAAGAAGATATCATCATGTGGAGCTGGTGCAGTAAGTGCCAACAAGTCTCGCCAATGATCAAGATGTCGGTGGATACTTGGTCGTTTTCATTCGCCAAATACTTAGAATTACGTTTTCATGGCGGTTTATACTCGCGGCGTGGAAATTCTCAGTGTCAACACAGTTTACATCATGATCATCATCAGTATTTTACTTATAAGAACACAGTCGCTTCATTTCGATACACATCGATTGATTTATGGGAAATATCTCTTCCTCCTACGATTTTACAAATTAACTATGATAAAGAAAAACAACAACAGGAATTGATGGACGCAATTAAATCAATGGCGCAGAATGGTCATGAAATGTATTCGATCATTCAAGATAAACTTGAACTTTTGCCCAGTGAGCATGACATTAGAGACACTTATAAAGATTTGTTAGCGAAGGAGCAATTGATGTTCAAGCAAAAGATTGAAGAGATTCAGATGAAGTTGACGTCGCCGACAATTGAAAATAAAAACCTGAATGATGATGTAAATACTCAAAGCGCAATGTGGAAGATTCACGATGGTGTTGTTCGAATTAAACGATTTATTGTGGAGGCTGTTGATCAGTGGAACTTGAAACTATCTGAAAGTATTACGCACAAAAAGGAGGATAAGAAAAAGGATAAAACAAGCTCGCAAGAATTAGATAGTCCTAATACATCAACAGAAAGCAAAAATGCACCCATCGATGTGGAGTCTGAAGTTTTATTGAGAAGTACTAAAAGAAATCGTAGTTTAGATAAACCTGAAGATGAAGACATCTCTTCATCACCACGAGGTCACCATCGATCTCAATCAGATGGGACTGTTCTCAACCAAATTGAAGATATTCAAGATGGCCGCCGGGAATCTGAAAAGAAATCGGTCAAAACTCTGTTTTCATTGTTTTCAAGCGCGCCTTTTACACCAATAACTAATCCGTTTAATAATGACGATCATTATTCACTACCAAGTGGGCTTTACGCTCCAATAGCTGTCTACGTATCCGAACCAAGTTCTATGATAGCTTACGCGTTGAATTCACTTGATTACAAGAAACAATTTGATGATTTAATCGGAAAGAAAAGCAATGAGCAATCTCCGAGCCCCCTGAGTAAACGTAGAAGTAATAGTGATAAATCCGAAGACTTATCATTATCTACAGACAAATCTTCATCGATTAAAATGTTCTTTAGGAGTAAAGATAGTAAATCTGATCTGTTAGCATCTACAAGCACTAATGCCGACTCGCAAGTTACAAATGAAAGTCCACCATTGGAAAAATCATCCGAAAATAACAAAAACAATAAGATCGAAGTACAATTCGAAGACAATACCTGTAAATTTTTATGTTGTGTATATCATGCTGAAAAGTTTACTGCGTTACGGAAATTAATTTTACCAGAAGGCGAAGAAGCATACATTCGATCATTATCACGGTGTGTTCCGTGGGATGCACGCGGTGGTAAGTCTGGATCGACGTTTAGGAAAACGATGGACGATCGGTTTATTATCAAGGCAATGCCACAGAAGGAAATTCATCTGTTCCTGGAGTCTGCGCAAAATTATTTCGCGTATATGACAAAATGTTTTACTAGTGGGCAACCCACACTTTTAGGAAAAATAGTCGGCATTTATCAGATTGTTTATAAGAATACATTAACTAATGCGACACTTCGGACCTTTTTGCTGGTGATGGAGAACTTGTTTTACAATCGTGTGGTAACACAGAAGTTTGATTTGAAGGGTTCGATGCGGAATAGATTGGTTAATCCGGATAATCAAGATGGCGAGATTGTTTTATTAGATGAAAATTTACTCAAAAGTAAGTTGATTACCAGAATTTATTATAGACTTCAGTCTAATCATATTTTTTTAATTCTTTTAGTGACATGCGAAAATCCTTTGTATATTCATCCGCATTCCAAATCTGTTTTAACTGCAGCGATTCAAAACGATACAGAGTTTTTATCGAACCAATGTGTAATGGATTATTCTCTACTAGTTGGTTTAGATTCAGAGAAGAAAGAATTGGTTCTTGGAATAATTGGTAAATACATTCAAGTATTAATGATTTTCATTCTAATTCTTTGTTGTATTATAGATTATATTCGAACGTTTACTTGGGATAAAAAATTGGAAACCATCGTGAAAAAAACTGGTATTCTTGGTGGCCAAGGCAAGTTACCAACTATAATGCCGCCTCAAGAGTATCAGAAGCGTTTTATTGAAGCAATGCACCGATATTTTCTCGAAGTTCCTGATCCCTGGGTCGGCATGGACCGAGGATTAGATACTTAACATTTTAACACATATAATTTATTGTACCATTTGTTGGTAGCTTTTATTCTTGTTACTGAAAACCCCTCTAATTTTAATAATATAAATGTATATTGTCATTGTATAATGTGTTATTCAAAGAATTTTAGCAATTTTTTGTAATAGTACAGATGTGAAATTTATCTCTGGTGGGGACTAATGATCAAAGTGCAAAGTCCAAACGTACAAACTTCGAAGCTAGCGCAAAGTGCACATAGATAGACAGGTTCTCAAGTGCATACAAGTTTTAACCTCCATTTTAAAACTTTAAAAACAAGTTATTTATCCGCTTTCTACGGTAAATTTATAACAAGATCCTGAATATAATACAAAATGTTGAAGTCTGTTCGAAAAATCGCTCCGCTTTACAATGGATTCCAACATATTCGGAATTCTTCTAAATTTGTGGATATTGCAGTTAGCAATCAAGGAATTGCAACTGTTACAATGCAAAGAAAGCCGGTAAACAGCCTGAATCTTGAACTGCTCACTCAGTTACATGAAGCTTTTGAACAAGTAGAGAATGACAATGCCAAGGGAATGATTTTAACTTCAGTAAGTATAATATTTAATGTTGTTCGTACTTGTTTATTCATTGTTATTCTTGGTTTGTTTGGGTAAACAGGGTTCAGATACAGTCTTCTCTGCTGGTTTAGACATTATGGAGATGTACAAACCAGACCAGGAAAGAGTCAAAAACTTCTGGTCCACTTTGCAAGACACTTGGTTGAAACTCTATGGTCTTAGCACACCTACATGTGCTGTTATCAATGGACACTCTCCAGCTGGTGGTTGTCTGCTTGCAATGAGCTGTGAATACAGAATTATGTCACAAAACTTCACAATTGGCTTAAATGAAACAAAGCTTGGCATTGTTGCACCTGAATGGTTTATTGCTTCCATGAGAAACACAATTTCAAACAGAGAGACTGAGCTAGCTTTAACTGCTGGCAGACTGTTTACAACTGATGAAGCTTTGAAAATTGGCCTTATTGATGAAGTGGCTACAAGCAAAGAGGATGGAATTGCAAAGAGTGCTAATTTCTTTAAGATGTTTGCTAAAGTTAATCCTCTTGCAAGACAGATGACTAAGACTGTTTGCAGGAAGAAGGATTTACAAGTATGTTCTAAAATGTAGATTTTATGTTTTACTAACTTTTGTTTCTAATTTGTGCAGCAATTAATTGATAACAAAGAAGAAGATCTTCAACAATTCTTATTCTTTGTCAATCAACCATTGGTCCAGAAAGGTTTGGATATGTACATTGAGGCTTTGAAGAAAAAGGCGAAGAATTAAACAGATAAGAACATTTAATTTCTATTTTCTACAAATCAATTGTAATTTCTTGAAGGACAACTTCTTTCTTAAAGTCTTCTCTTTGTATGTCAAGGTAATGCGTGATTTCCAGAACTTTTGCTCGGTTACGTGTTATTTCATTTCTAAAAGTGCAACAAATTAATATTTTAATTCTAAATAAATACAAATTTATTACTTTTGTAGATCATTCACCAGATTACTCAACCATAATCTTGCTCGTCGCATTAATCTATCTTCTCGGTTATCAATCGCCAATAAATGTGCGTCATGTGAAGCAACTATTGCATTACTCAGTACTTCACGATCTTCAAAATACTATAACTCAAATATTATTGGTGAAAAATAATTATTGAGTTTTAAATACTTACCGCTTCCGCTTCAGGCGGAATAATTGTTATATCAGGTGAAATGTTTAAAGATGTGTACAGTCTCATTAACATTTCACCTATTTGTTCGGTATAAGTCCCTTCAGCGCTGCGCATTAACGCAAACGTGCCTTGTGCCATCTCAATAAAGTTATTAATCATTTCTGTAAGAGATTGTTCGAAAACTTGATTGAGTTCCTCCATCTGTTCATATAAAATGACCTCCAGACTCATTAGAATCTTCCAGGTTGCTTTTACTTTGTCTTCATAGATTTTTTTATATTTAGCAACGTTTAGGTGGTAGTCTTGATAAGTTAGCTTCTTGTTTATATATAATTTCTTGTCGTCGTCAACCTGTTTATACATGCCTGCCTTTTGATCTTTGAATTCCTCCATCAGTTTCTATTTTAAAATGAAAATAAGCAAATTAGGTCTATTGCATACTAATGAACATGATAATATACTATGCTTTCTTGTTGATTATCATATTTAGCTCCTTCAGTGACTGCTGTAAATTCACCAACTTCTTCCTTGCGTAGTTTGTATTGTTCTTGTCCGCTTTCAAATATTTGCGTCGCTAGACTCATAAAAATTGATCTAAACTCATTGTAGTACTCTTGTGCTTCGTCATTGATTTTAGCGAAAACTCTACCATCAACATCGCTTTCAAACATTTGATTGAAGAGGTGACTTGTTCCTAAGAATTCCACAAAACTTTCTGAATGTAATTCTGCTTCGATTGCTTCGGCTTCAAGGCGTTCTTCACGTTCTCGTGTTACACTCTCCGCAGCTTCGACCTCTTTTATTTGTGATCTAAGAAAATTCAAGACAAAATTAAATAATTTAGTAGTATTTGTAGTATACTTACAAATATACTCCTTCACCACCAATCCGCTCAGTACTATCGATTAATTTATACTCGTAGTACAATATTTGTGGTAAAAACGTTGCTATATAAACTCGAAAATCTTCCTCTTCTGTAACTGGATTGCCAGCCATGTTAACTGACTTTAACTTTTTAAATCTTCTCAAATATAGCACCTGTAGTAATAATGTTTTATCTCTTAAGTTTTGTCTTGATAAATTGATGGTATATGCTTACATTTTTTCTATCAGTAATGTTATTACAGCCAATGCTAAAAATCATTAGTTCTTTCATATTATCCATGTTTTCAAGCGTAGTGATTCGATTGCTGAATAAATTAAACACTTCTAGTTTAACCAGTTCGTCCAAGTTCTCAATTTTTGATATTTTATTGAAGGAGATGTCTAAATGTCGGAGGTTTACAAGGGTGCCTAGTGCTTCTATCTTTTCGATAATATTATTGCTTAGTGTTAGTTCTGTTAGAGCTGGTAGCACCCACAAATGGTCAATTCGAAGAATATCTTTAATAATTATTATTAGTGTTGGCTGACGTTGTCGAATAATGAAGTTTCTTACTCATAAATTCAAGTCTTATGTGAAGAACTTCATCCCAAGGAATTCCTTCCTCTCGAGCTAAGCGGCCTAGTTCGCCTTTTAATCCTTGTTCTTCTAGACATTTAGCAATCATCAGGTGGTTGATTACTTGAGGTTCGCGATATTTGCAAGGATCCATTGTTTATTTTCAGATACAAATGTAAAATTTATATAAATAAAAATGAGTATAAACCAAGTATTGGCTCAAGCTGATTGATGAACTGAATATTGTTTAATCAATAGACTTATGTTTCCATGGTCTGTTTAATTGTTTTGTTTTTAGATTTACTCAATTCCTTTTTGTTTACTTGATAAAATAAAACAAAATGTTTTGTTTTGTTTGTAAACTTTTTGATTAATGTAAACATTTTCTTGTGCGCAAGTATTATTTAAATATCATCCATAATTTAATGAAGATTAACTACAAGCAGATGGCATAGTATGTTTATACGGGCAACTACTTAATTTATTTACTAATATTTTCTTAAAATAAGCAAATATTCAAATTTTAAATTTTAATTTTGTACTGCGCTTGCGCAAATATTTGCCGTTGATGTCATTTTTTGCGCGGAATGCTTTACTTGATAGTGTAGTGTTGAAGTGAACGCGTGCTTTTTAAAATCGTGCAAAATTTGCAAAAAGTACTTTTATTTTTGTCTATATTGCCATCCTATCGCACAGTATTAACATTCCTTGTGAGTATGGACAACATTATTTGTGTTGGTGAATGAAATAAAACTACTAACATTAAGTACATTTAATTTAAGTTTCACGGTGTTAACGTGTTCGCTACAGTTGGGTTTAACTGATATCAATAGTGATATGGTGTGATACTATGTTGTTATTGTTGTGATTCTATATGGTTGTTGTTGTGATGCTTGAGGTAGATGTTATTACAACACGTTGCTATTGAATCATTTAAACCATTTAAATTTAAAAGTGAATTTAACGCGAAGAATTGAACATTTACTGGCAAGTTAGGGGCAAGAAAATGCAAGCAGCCTAGTTTGGACAACTGATATCTAAGGTTAGTAAACTTCAGGGGTTTATTATTATTAAGTTTGAAGATATTTATCCAAGGCAATACTTTCTTCCATGTTCAGTATGCGTTATATAAAATGTTCAAAAATTAGACGCTCGAGACGCCATTTGCTATCGTTTAATAGTTACCGTATTCGCCGCATGAGGGCGGCAGCAGTATTAAATGCCCAAAATAAATGCGTGTAAATATTATCATCACTTGATCACAACAAAGTTGAAAGCGGAAATTAAATCTCAAAACATGAAATACAATGAAATGATGATTAATTTTAATTGTGGAATGCGAAATTAGAGCCCGGTAATGAACAAACCAATAACAAATCACTTCGTGTGGTAACTCACACACACGCCAGCGGCAAACGCCGCGGCAAATCGGCAATCAATCACTATCATCAATCTTCGGTCCGCGCTCCTCTGACTCCTTCGACGGTGTCTTATTGACGGCGACCGCGGCGACGCCAGGTGCCCCCGCAGCAAACCGCCGCTCCGTGATTGGCGTCGTTGTGGGAAACAAGCCGGCCGCAAACAATCGTAGTAGAAACGGCGTACACGATGCCTCCAGCGCCAGCCGTCGCGATTCGAACTCATCGGGCGACGCGGTCTGATTCTCCTCAATCCACTGGAGCGCTTCGTTGGTTCGCTCCTCTAGGAAATCCAATTCGGTGGGATTCAAGTGATTTTGCGATAATTCCTCACTAATCTGCAACGTATATTAGATTAATTACTTCAAGTTAATTAACTGAACAGCAATTTACAAATGTTTTGATCTGCATAATGTATTCTTGCAGTAGATTCTTCTTCTCGACGCGTTCACGAGCAATGTCATCATCAATACGGAACTGTTCAGCTTCGCTCACCATCTTCTCGATTTGTTCTTTTGTTAACCGTCCTCTGTCATTTGTTATCACGATTTTCTTATGTTTTCTTGAAGTGGTTTCTAAAGCGCTTACACTCAGGATACCATTGGTGTCAATATCAAAGGAAACTTCAATCTAAAACTCGCAAAAATTAACTTTTAGTTACGCCATCCATAAAATTTACTTGAGGTGTTCCTCTTGGGAGTGCTGGAATTCCAGTCAATTCAAACTTTCCCAATAAGTTGTTATCCTGGGTCAGGACGCGTTCTCCTTCGAAAATTTGAATCAACACTGTTGATTGACCATCAGCATACGTTGAAAATGTCTGGAAATACAATTCATTTATTATCTCATTCACTTTTAAACTGAAGTCTTTACTTTTGTTTCTCTTCTTGGTATTGTTGAGTTTCTGTCTATTAAAATAGACATCATACCACCCACAGTTTCGATTCCCAACGAAAGTGGGGTAACATCAAGCAGTAAAACATCTTTCACAGTCTCAGAATGGTCTCCAGACAAGATGGCGGCTTGTACTGCAGCACCATATGCCACAGCTTCATCAGGATTTATGCTTTTATTTAACGATTTACCGTTAAACATTTTAATTAACAAATCTTGAATTTTTGGTATTCTTGTTGATCCCCCGACCAAAACGATTTCATGAATCTAGAAAACCAACATTAAGAAATCATTTCAATATATTGGTAGGTTGTTTTACTTCGTTTTTATGTAGTTTAGCGTCTGACAATGCTTTCTCAACTGGATGAAGCGTCGCACGAAAAATGTCACCGCAAATCTCTTCAAACTTTGCCCTCGAAACAACTGCATAGAAATCGATGCCGTTGTAAAGCGAGTCGATTTCAATCGTCGCCTGGGTATTTGCAGAAAGCGATCTTTTTAATCTTTCAGCTGCTGTTTGCAGTCTATAAAATAAATTTTTAAGCGGATATTTATAAATTAATAAGTAAAGAGTTTGCCACCTTCTAAGTGATCGTTTATTCTGCTTCAAATCCAATTTTGTCTTCTTTTTAAACTCATCCGCAAAATATTGCACCATGCGAGTATCAACATCTTCACCTCCAAGATGAGTATCCCCCGATGTGGACATCACTTCAAAGATACCATCCGATAAGTTTAGGATGGACACATCAAATGTGCCACCACCCATGTCGAAAATCAACACGTTCTTCTCCGGATCTCCCTAGAATAAAATATGTTTAGGAAATCCCGGCGCTATTAATATAATTTTTTATTTCCGTACGACTTTATCTAAACCGTAGGCGATGGCAGCCGCTGTCGGCTCGTTGATAATGCGCTGCACGTCAAATCCGGCAATCGTTCCCGCATCCTTGGTGGCTTGTCGCTGCGAATCATTAAAATAGGCTGGCACAGTGATAACGGCGTTGCTGACGATGCAGCCGAGATATGTCTCGGCTATCTCTTTCATTTTTCCCAGCACCATCGAGGAGACTTCCTCAGCAAAGAAGCGTCGTGTTTCGTTACGGTATGTTACTTCAAACTTTGGCTTTCCTTCTTCTTGGACCACAGTAAAGGGATACATTTTTATATCGTTCTGAATCACTGGGTCATCAAAACGTCTTCCTATTAATCTCTTAGCGTCTGCAAACATTTAGAAATGCGAATAAGTGGATTCATATAAGAGATTTTAAATTAATGAACCATAAATAGTATTGGTTGGATTTTGTGCAATTTGCATCTTGGCAGCATCGCCGATCAAGCGCTCCGATTCGTTAAAGGCAACGCACGATGGTGTTGTGCGATTTCCTTGATCATTGGGTATAATTTCTACTTTTCCTGCTCGAAAAACTCCTGCACAAGAAAATGTAGTGCCCAAGTCAATCCCGATTGATACTCGTGACGCTGGCGGAGGTGTTGATGAGGATGACATTTTCTTGGGCATTTGTAACACTGGAATTTCTGTTTTTCAATCCAAAAGTTGAAATGAAATGATTTTATGATGTGATTATGATTATGTCATTCTGACAGAATGTAAGTAACTCAAAAAATGAATTTAGGTACTAGACCTACACGTCATTTATTTCTGTTAGCATATTTTTTGTTTGATCTTTTTTATTCGTGTATATTTTGCATAGGGGTGGGCTAATGAACGAAAATGAATCAGATCCAATTTGTCGCGTTCGCTCGTTTTTCAAAATTCGAAACAAATTTGAAAATTTGCATTCTATTTCGTTTATTCCATTTGCGTAATGCGATGGCGTGTAAATTGCGTTAACACTTTTATATGCTCGCAAAGTTTGGCGTGCTCACACCCCCGCAAGCGATGGTGGGAATGTTGAAAATGTGCAAAACAATCGCTCTTTTCGTTTGGTCCACTCGCTCGTTTACGCATCCGCGCATCAGGCGCGATATTCGTTTGAAGTCCACGCGCGCGGTGCGGCAGAATTTTAATTCAGATATTAATTACGCTCGCAGCTTTTTGTGCGCCACACGTTGCTGCCGCGCCGATGGGGATGATGATGATGATGTCGCGTGTGTGGCGCGTCGAAGTTATTTAAATATTAAAATATGTGCCACGTACGCGCGTACAAGGAAAGCGAGGCGCGTCAAAAGCACATCGGGAACGCAATTAGTCGATTCGGAAAGCGGACGTGCACGTGGAAAGTTTTATTTTAATTAAAAATGTCGCGTACGTGCGAAAAATAAAACTGTTACCACATAATTATTTTTGCTTTATTGGTTGACGTGTGGATTTGTTCAGAGATGTCGCTACTGTGTCAACAATCAGTTATTAGGCTTCTTAGCGCTTGCTTCTGGCGTTTTCGACTATTTATACTAATTAAGACCAATTAACGAGGTCGAAAGGGTGAAAGTTTCAAGGTTACTGTAGAAATGCCCTGCGCTTACATTTCGCATCTTTGTTTTGCGCGCTTTTGGATGAATGGCGTATATGCGAACGCAAAATGTAAGCCTGGACAGGGTTGCGCTCTGCTGGGTAATTGCTGGCTCGTTTTAATATCCTACCATCTACAGGGCGTACAAAACTGCTCTATCATTCAATTTGATTATAAAATGTTTGAATTTAATTCGGTCAACGTGAAAAATCTGGAAACAACCTGTGTGGTTAAAGCAGAATTTTTTTGACAGAACTTGGGCTAATGTACTTTTTTCCATTTTTAACGTATTTTCGGTAAGGTTTCGGTCCAAATTACGGATGCATGACTAAGCTTATACGTTGATGCGTTCTGGGGCAATGTGGAACGCGAATGTGCGTGAGTTTCGCATTGCTTGTCGCGTTTTTGCTGCGTTTTTATATTTTTTTCTGTGTGGGTTAATTTCACTTGTAAAAATCATTCATAAAAACATTAATTCAATGTTTTTCAACATAAATACTGGTTTAAAAAAGCTTTACGTGCTTATAATTACAAACATAATTGAGTCGAACAAAACGAGCACGTTTTTCTTTTTGTTCACGTACCTGCATACTTCGCCAATGAGCAAATTTGGTAATTCGACAATCAGCAATTCATTTCGTCGCAGTTTGTCAGGTTGATTCATTAGTGATTCATGACGGGATCACGTAGTTATTAGATGAAAGAAAATTGCACTTTGCTTCGCTTGAATCAATATTTAACTCTGAATGGGTTCAAGTTTGAGATAAGATATTGCGGCGCATAAAAGTGATTTTGAAATATTGCGCTACAAACAAGTTTCGTGAGAGTTTCTACAGTTTGTTTAAAGGGTTTTTACTTATCTTTATTGCTCTATTTTTTTGCGTTTGCCAGCGCTTGTGAATTCGTAAAATTTGTTTGAAAGCGCAAAGAGTAAATGCGCTGCAGTCGAGGCGCATTTATTTTACTAGTTTTGCTTTTATTTTTGACATCAACAATGGAACCTATTCTAACAAAATTTTTCTCCTTTTTACTCGTAATCTTGAAACTATTTTAAAACTACTTTTGCATTTTGTATTCTTGTATATTAAATTTGTATCGCTCGGTTTTTCTCAGATGTCTGGAATATTTATTTGCGTACACAAATCAAGTAGGTACGTTTTCCAATTTTCAGCATCTCCCTTCTTATTTTGTTTCAAAAAAATGTCCGATTTTACATTTTTCCGCGTTGCCACTACTTTTTTAACTATGTTTGCATAGAACTTTTCGTTAGGTTTGAAAAATTCTAAGTATATTGTGCTTTTCTGCACAAATCAAACGGGAAATCGGTGCACGACTCATGGAAATCGATGGCGCGAAATTCACGCTACGCGGAATATAAAATTCTGTGAAATTTTCGCCCGAAATGCGACGTTTTCGAAGCGTTTTATTGCATCAACTCGGCGTCGCGCCGACCCCGCTCACCCCGCTTGCTCACTCTGTTATTGTGCGAAAGCAAAGTAGAACCCTTCGACTCCGCCGAACTAGCGCCGCATTGTGCGCCGAACGAATGAAAGAATATTTATCTTTTGGCGTCCACATATCGAATTATAGATAGATAGGCGGAACTTTTTCCTGAAAGTTCCCATTCTTCTTTTGCTCGAACTCCGGCGAGCGTGTGCTCGTTGGACTCGCATTGTCTCTCGATTTTTCGCCATTTTCCCGCACTTCGTCGTGCTATATGTGTACACATTTCTTTTTTTGTGCCTGGGTTGTGATTTCTCTTTTGTCGACCGCAAAATCGACCGCGGGGGTGCGAGTTATATATAACTTTTATTAAATTATTTATCGTCGGTGATTTATATAAATTAAAAGCGCTCGATGCGCGCCCAGCATCTGAGACGGAAATAAAGTACAAAAGATGCATATAGGCGCTGTTCGAAATGTTGGAAGAAGAGACGCTTAATATTTGTCCCCGCTGTAGTCCTCCCTGCTATGTGAAAAATTACGCAAAAGTGTTCCGAAACGATAACAAATTGGGAAATATTCCAACTTTTCTTTCTCTCTTTCTTCCCACAACGTCTTTGGCGTTTTCCGTAGATTTTTCTCATCGAGCTCTGCAAATGCTTCGATATTATGTAATTTCCAGTGAAAAATGTTGATATTTCCGGGCTTAGCGCAAAATCTTTGCGTTTTGCTACGCAAAAAAGTTTTAAATTCTACAACCTAATTTCCCCAGATAGATAAAACGTCGTGTAAGAAGTATTCATCATCGTACCATCGTGCGGGCACTTCTAAGAGTTGAAGGTGAAAAAATGTGCTTGATTGATGCTTCCTCGTTTGTATCATTTCCAACTTTGCATTGAACTTTGAAGTTTGCAAAGTTTCTCATTGTCGTGCAAACTTGGCCGATGTGCCTAGGGCGTGCGCACATCTTCCAAGAGACGTGGCATCATCATCTATAATGACTTATCACTTATTATCATAAAAGTGTCACCGGTGTCTAATGCAACACATTTATTCCCGCCCAATTTACAATCTCAATTAGCCTATAATTTGCTTTTCGTTCATACACACGAAAATAATCAGTATTTGTAAATTTCATTTTGCGTATGAAAATTAGCCTTTTGTTTCAACTTGTTGAAAATAAATAGTGAATGACTCAATCAACTAAATTCGCACAAAACCATTTACCGCCTTTACCACCGACACAATATACTATTGTGACACTTTTTCGCTAAAAATTTCGTGGAATTGTTTATTGCGCCGAAACTCGTTTCAACCTAAACAAGCAATAGTCTGTCCTTTGTGTGTAGGTACTTCATATGTGTCAATATTAAAAATATTTGTAAATATTTGATACTGTTTCTGTTTGGCGATGAATAATAATGAATAACATCCATTTGGCGTTCGTCGCGCCATAACGTTAACAAACGACGATAAAAAATTTGTCGGAATGTGTAAATCATAAATATTGTCTGTGTGGATATTTCCACGAACCACCGCCGGGTTGATTCAATGCAAAACTGTCGACTTTTCAGTTTGCCGAAAGTTTGAAGTTTTTTTTTATTTAAAAATTTAAACTTGTGTTAACTTTGCGAGTGTCCTTCGCTTGGGCAGCGATTAAATTTCCATATTTCCATTAAAATGCTACCTTCGCGCGAGCGCGCGCGCCAGTTTCCGAGTGCTCGTGCATGCAATCTAATATAATTTAATGCAAATTTCGGTGTCCATTAACTCGACTATTAATAGTTACGCCGACATTCGGAGACGTTCTTGCTCGCCCTGTTCGCATTTCCGCTCCCGAATCTCATCTCGAGAGTGGCGTTAGTTTAGCGCGCGGGCGACGGCTACAAGATCGTTTGTTGTTCTTGAAACACGAGTGTCTGAAATACAACGTGCACCTTTGACGCTTCATCGTCCAGACACGGCAGTGAATAATTATATATTAACTTTACGGATTGCCGTCGCTCACTTTCGGCGGTTTGGGTTTCGCAATGCGACTCTAGCTGCACCACTACAAGCGGCGTCGCCGGAGAGCATTAGCTCCCCGCGATGTCGGCGGTGTCGGGTTGTCGCATGGCGTGCTTATGCTTACTGTCCTGACGGTTTTCGGGGTGGATATTAGCCCCGCGCGTACCATCATCGTTATTATTATATGCGACGCTTAAGAAGCGCGACGTGACGCCCCGCCGAGGATTAATCCGAGCGGCGGGCGCGCACACACTCCGGGTCATTACCGGCGACTTCTTGAATGACAAATGCATCTATTGCATGCCCTACAGCATACCGCTGAAGTTGTCGAGGGCTAATCGCCTTTGCCGGATGTATTTAACTTAATATTTCATCTTGATTGCGCCGGAATCTTGGCGCAACTAAAATTGGAAATTCTGATCTTCATTACTATGCACCCACCTAGACAATTCAACAACAACAAATAATAATTATTTATTTGAGTGCGCGACACGTATCTTATTGTTTCGTTGAGGATGCGTCAACATTCTGGCATTGTGAAAACTGAAACAAAAAGCCAAAACGTGTTCATAGAAAATTATTAATTAAACTCAGGTCCGCATTTATCACTCGAGTCTCGTTTGCGTGTCACGTGTTGTTGCTGGAAGATCAGACGTCTTCCGAAACAATAGTTATTGTCACACTCGGTGG